ATTACATCTTACACATGATGACAATGATGTAATAGGAAAATATTCCTTCTGATATTATTCTACCAAATAAGTATATGTGGTTAAAAAAATACAAATGAAATATTATCATCCGAACCGCTGTTTTCCTCTTTTCTAATTACTCGATGTTTACTATGATTAATACTAGTCTCTGGTTACGAAATGCCTATGTATATACTTACACGATAATACTTTGGATGTACAGAGCAATAAAAGCATCTGTGCCCGTCCTTCCTATCTCTTCAATATAGACATCGAACACTTGATTATGAGAATAGATACGAGAGTGGCCGAAGTTCCTCGAGATCGATTTATTACTTTATATTTAGGATGCTTCTAACAAGTGATAATAGTGAATCTTTTCCTTCTTAGAGACGACAGGAGGGGATAGAACGACGTAGAATTTATCGACTAAGTTCGAGTAACATCAACATAAGAAAAGATGCGTATGTGCATACTGGCACATATACACAATAATCAATGATGACGGAAGAAATAACACATTTGAGAGAATTTATGCGCTTTTCTAAGTACTGCTTACTGCTCATCATACAAAAGCCAATAAATAATAATCAGCATTGATAAACAGACATATTTCTGTTTCTATTCTCGGTTTGGGAAAGACAAGGCATTGAGAAGAAAGAAAAACGAACAAGGAAGGAAAGGAATACAATCCACACAAGAGCAACGAGGTGTCGACTGATTGAACAATATGTTCTGCGACTTCATGCTCTTTTTTAACACAGACATACATAGATCGCGTGTAAGTTTAGAAGTCGCCGCCCTCTGATGTTAGTCGTTCTTTTTTTGCTATTTCTCTCATTTTCCTATCTTGCCTTCTCTAATAATTTTTATGTGTTTTTGATATTTGTTCTGTTTCTATAATATCGTTTGTAAGTATAGATCGATGTCTTCATTGCCTTTTTTCTAAGAGGCAACCGACAGCTCTTATCGTTATTGACGGCTCTCGGGCATCAAAGACACAACAAGTTGCCTGCATTCAGATCTTTCTTTCTTTCTTCCTTTTTCTTCTTCTTCTTTCTCTCGTATTCAATCGTAATGTTGGATGTCACAGCTGTTTGCTCATAAACTGACCTTGATGATTTTCTTTTTAGTATTGAATACTTACTCCGATACTTCCACGATGAGAACTTGACTCACTAAATTGTGAAATACGATGACGAATGATTTCAGTCCGTATTTTCTGTGTATCTTGTTCGCAACATGCATTCCTAAAAAGAGAAAGAGAACTAACTCCCAAATTCAATATAAATGGACATATTGACCATCAATGCTAATTGCATTAATGACTAAACAATGTTCACATCGTTCATTAGAGACGAAACGATAATGGAACTAGGAGGAAAATTCATCCTCTCTTTTATCAAATTACAGAAAAGTATTCGTCTTTGACCGAACAGACAAAATACAAAGACAATCAATCTGATTTGGCTTTTAGACATACATACAGCTAGCTCGAGAAAAGAGACCAAGAGAGAAACGCAATGACAAATCATCGTCGTTATTATGTATGACTGTATTAGCATATTATAATAAAGACTAAAATTGCATTGATAAGAATCTCTCCTCAATCGAGATAAGAACAAATAAAAGAAGAAATGAATCTGTCAACGTGAAGTATTATCCTTAGATATACGTAGATGTCTAATAATAGTAAACAGAAAAGAAACTCTAACGAAATGCAGCCAGTTTATTTGTTTTGTTAATTAAAAGTTTTGGACTATGACAAGAGAATATAATATCGAAAGAGCCCATCGTCAATCAATGTATTAAGACTAACACTTTCCTTGTGTCTCAATTCACTTCTTGAAAAGGAAATTAAATGATTATATAATGCTCGATTATGAATTCTATCTAGAGGAACCAATACGGATGGATGGGATTCTCTCCAAAGGAAAGGAATGAACTTATGTCAAACAGCAACTTCGAAGATTGTCGTTTTGTATAGATATTCTATTTCAGAGCAAATCTAAATGTTTACATTACTTCTCTCGTAGCGAGACTTGCAAAGGTTGACAATTTACGGCGAGAAAAACTTAAGTTGATGAGGCATACACATTAACTTATAGTATTTCAGCTTCATCTAAGCTCTTAATTTTGCATTACGAGTGAAGAAAGCTTGAAAATTCTTCTCCCGTTTTCAAGCATGATGGCAATCAAGCGTTTTCCATCACCATGTATAACAAATAGGAAATATTGCTATGAAAAGTGCATATGAACTATTAAATATTTCATAAGATGAGTCTTAAAATAGAAGAATGTCCACTGATTCTATTTTTACTCAATGATAATGACAATATTTCAGCATAAAATCACAGAATGTCATTTAAAAACTAAGTTTCTACCAGGTGTTTTGTACGTTTATTCGAACATCGATCTTGATCTAATCTCTTATGCAAACAATAAATAACACTTACAAATGAGTATACATCATCGAAAGGATAAATCTTTTGAATACTTCACTCGCCGAACGACTAAATGGGTGAAAATTGTGTCGCGACACTTTATATGATAATCACAACTTATTATCCTCGTGTTTCTTTTTCTTTTTTACTTCGATGAATGAGCATAGCAAATCGGATGAGAGACTTGTTTCGATCAAATGCAAAATTACTCACTTGAATCGAAATATAACAATAATTAACATAATAAAACCGATAACAATCACGACAGTCACAATGACTTTAATTTGTGTTTTTGTAAAATCTAAACAATTGTCAGTGTGACATGATGAGTTTTTTTTTCAGGTTTTAATTGCGTACTTGTCATATAAAAGTCATGCACAGTTGAATGAGGACGATTTTCTATTGAATTCGTCGGGACATCATTTATCGATGCACGACGAGTTCTGTAATGTTCGAGTAATGAGGATGTTGTTGTAGTACTTGTTATGATAAACATCTTTGTTGGGTTCTTAACCGATTTCGTCAGACAGTTGAGAGATAAGAAAAGAATCATTTGAATACATCGAATGTTCATTTTCGGTGATGCATTGATTCATTTCGATTGAACTTATTCTTTTTCAGTTATCTGAAAACAAACAAATGCTGAAGATTAAGGTGATGTTTGCGAGTTCTTTTGAGACAAAGCATTGACTTACAGGTAATTCAATCAATTAAATCATAAGGGAAAGGATATTCCATGAAAAAATAATGCGTAAAGATCCATGAAACTCAATAGAAGCTTAAGAGAAGAGACAAAATGAGTTCGTAAATGAAGTAATGACACTATCACTTTTCACAATGTGTGTGTGTGTCTCTATTCTCTATTCTTTTTCTTCTTTTCTTATAAAAAAAAGATCATCTTGTCGCGAAAACTTCTTCAGGCACTACTCAACAATGTCAATATACATGATGTAACACAACACAAATGCAGAAAATGGTTCCTATCTAAATCCGTTCAAATTCAATTAAGTTCAAATCTTCGAAATTTCCTTTCAATTAACGCAAATGTTGCTGACTCACTTTATCCTCTTGTTTTGTTCATCAGCCCACCCTAAACAAGCACGAAAAACTCTTTTCGCGCTAATCACTGAATATAACATATTACTCCATCCATCTCATTTGTTTCCTTCTTTTCTATTAAATGCACGTAGTCTTTTTTGGTAAAGCATTCTATTCTTGTAGAAACTAGATCGTTCTCTCTCTTTACATACATTACTCAATAACACTATCATTCTCTACACATTATTATATTCAAGTAATCATCAAAATACATTGCCACGTACTTACTCACATCTCGACGATGGTATAATACTTAATGATGACGAGAAGAGATGTATGAAAAAAGAGCGTGCGAAGAAAAACCGCAGTTGTCTTGTTAGAGAAAAGTAGACATTGAAAAAAAAAGTATCCACCGCAATGTTTTGCTTTTCTTTCTAACAAAAACCTATCGAAATAATATATCAACGAACAATGACATTTATGTCTGCTGATCGCATAAACATATGCATGCTCAATTTTCCAATTATAGCGACCGATGAAGAGTTGACAGCAAAGAAAAGAATAAAGTATTCTTTTCATAATCACTAATATTAAGAGAGAAAGAGAGAGAGAGAGAAAACAAGGAGACATTATTAGAACTAAGATCTGTTTTTCTCTTCCTTATCTGCTGAACAGAACGGCGACTTACACGTCAGGTACATAAATTGTCTTGAGGAATCTTTTCTTCGATTTATTCATTAGTACTCCGTTTTTCTTATTTACTCAAGAATGAATTAATAACAGGAAAAGAAACACATTTGTTATTTAAACAGACATCTGGATACCTTCAACTGGCAAAGAGAACGAGTACGCTGCTTTTGATCTTTTATACATCATTCGTAGGTTTTTTTTCCATTACCAAATCTATGCGTTTCACTGATTATTTCAACGCCACTTACACAAGACAGAGAGGCAGCGAAGAGGGAAAGAAGTAAATCATCATTTATACCATCGATTCAAGAAGACTTGCTCGCTCATTTTCCTTTTCCTTCTCTTTTTATTCCGAGAAGATGCGTGAATTCATGAAAGAAGAAACGAGAGGAAAACAGAATTAAAACACACCGCATGTGACCGATGACTTTGTCTTTCTATTGATTAAAAAAAAAAGAATAGAGAAATAGATACACTAGACATTCTATCTATAATTTGTATTCGTATTCAGAATCTATGAATAAGATTTATTAACAAAATTATCATCACATAGATTTTGATATTGAAAAAATCCATTCCTGGCTCATATGAATAAGTTACATTAGAATAAGAAATGTGATCACGTACTTCGTACGAATCTCATTGAATTGACGAGTATCCAGAAGAGAAATGTTGAGTGTTAGAATAGCTGCAAGCAAAATCCGACTTCGGAAAACTCTTTAACAGATGCAGATATATTTGTAGTCAGGTGAGAAAAGACAACAGTTTGAACAAATTTGCTCACAGAATGTGATTTATTACATGTAGGACAAGTTGTTTGATATTGATTTATAACAGAACAAAAAGAATTAGAATAGCAATTGCTGACACAAGCAAGACAAGTGCAGCTATAATTGGTTCGCGTACTTGAGATACTTCTGTTAGATCTCTGTCCATTATCTGACGATTGATGCGATAGTATCGATAAATACTATAGAGTAATGTCATAATTCCACATGCTATTAAAATAACACCACATATTAGCGGTTTGAATTCTACAGGTGGACCTTGAAAATTAATTCGACCGTATTCTGATCCACCGAATCGTGTTATCGCACAGCCGAAAGCAAATATTCCGAGACTGGTTCTTGTCCACGCTAGAAATGTTCGTTCGTTGGCAAGATGATCTGTGAAACTTCCTTTGAATTTTGTCACAGCTGTTGAAGATTGAGCTTGCGAAGAAGCAAGATCAGTCCCGGCTAATGGTTGTGTCATATCTACAAAAAGAAACAAATGATATTTCGATGTAAACATTCGTTGATCATGTTCGACTCGATTTTACTTCATATTCTCGACATATATTATGTATAGACGAAGAATACAAAGCGATATGTTACTTAACAAAGTCTCGATAGATCATAAGGATAGAAAGGAAAAGTAAAAATGCATCATGAAATACTTTCAGTTGAATACAACAGTAGAGTATGTGAACAACATATCGAGAGCGAAAGAATAACTAAGTTCATTTCATAGATTGTATCTCCATAACCTTTATTCGAAATGTACTTTTAATTAATTTGAATTTGTATCGGAACAAATTTGAAAAGATCTTCAGTTCTCAATCATAAATGTATGCCCTGGATGATTTCTGCTGAAATTTCATTAGATTATGGAAATATCACAACAAGTCTCTGCCATTATCAAACTTTGCACGACATGTGTTGCCATTTCAACAGACACAGTTGGTTAATTTGCGCATTTGTTTCCTAATTGATATACTACGTCTTCAACGACAATTATTATTGAATGAATAATTGGAAAACATGCTTAAACATGTCACCAACATTCAGTAACCGATAGCGCCTTGTAAAATGAATGGTCGAAATTGACAGGGTCGATGAATCATTGGTCTGGTTGCCACCTATCTGTATATTTATTTCTTTTCTTCAATGTCGAAAATTTGTACAATCGTTCATGCGTAGATATAATATCATATAAAAGGTCAGGACAATACACATCGACAATCACAATTCATCCTTCGACGACGAAATGCCTTCACGTACGGTTCTTTCGAGTGTTCAAAATCTAGTTTTCATTGTAATAATTAGTTTATTCTTTACGGCACTATTTGCCTATTTATTTCGACATGAATCCAACTATTGTGGTGAGAAGATAAGTTTTCATCGGCGATATCTGAAAACTATTTGCATTTTTATTTAGAAATGACGTATATGTTCGAAGCACCGACTTATCATCGAATTCAAATGCCAAAAGACGTTGAAATTCGATTTCGACGTTATGGACTTTACTCTTATTGTGAAGGTGTTCGCTGCGAAGCTCACAAACGAAATCAATTCTCTGGTATGAAAACGATTTTGACATTTATTCATATTTATCTCAGATTTTAGGTTCACCGGTTCTGTTCATTGTTGGTAATGCGGATAGTTACCGACAGGTTCGTTCTCTTGGTTCTGTAGCTTATCGCGTGAGTGAACAGCAACAATTGGATTATTTCTCGATTGATTTCAATGAAGAATTATCCGCATTATTCGGAGGTGTGCTCGAACAACAAGCTCAGTTCGTTTCTCATGCAATTCAAACGATTTTATCGTTGTATAAGACAAGCAAAACAGTTATTCTCGTTGGAAATTCTATCGGTGGTTTACTATCACGTAATTTTGATTTCATTGACGCGAATAGTCATCTTCAAAGAGAATATATTTAGGTGCGGTTTTTCTTCAGCCATCAGACCGATTTAATCCAAATACGGTGCGTTTGATCATTACACAAGCAACACCACATCAAGCACCGGTGATTCATTCAGATCGTTATGTAATTGATTTCTATTCTCGTGTGAATCAATATTGGAAAAATGAATGGAACAATTCACTTCAACATGTTGTCTTAGTTTCCTTAGCTGGCGGTGATCGGTATGTTGAATGTCTTTATGAATGTAGAGAAAAACTATAATCGAATATTTGCAGAGATCATCTTGTTCGAAGTGATCTATGTTCGCTGGATGGCTTGACTGATGAAAGTCGATCGATCGATGTTCTCACGAGTGCTGTTCCTCATGTTTGGACATCTACTGATCATCGTTGTATTGTTTGGTGTCGACAATTAGTCTTGACAACGACACGAGCATTACTTGAAATTACTCAAGAAAAAAATCCAAATTCTCAAATCATGATGAAGGTTGATTCGTATTCTTCAAATGTTTTCCGTGTACTATTTCTTGATTTTAGATTCTTAAAAAACATTTTTCACCCTCGGTTGATCATCAGCTTGGATCAGATATGGCTTTGAATTTGAACAAAAATCCAGTCGTAGTCACTGAGTCAACTTTATCAGTTCGTCGGAAAGACGATAACGATTATTTGATTCCATTGAAAGATTCTAAATATCATACTACGATTATCCATTCAACTAATGTCAGAATTTATTTAAAAAATAATGAGAAGACAACTGAAGTCACTCGCACTCTACTACCCATTCCACCCACATATGGAAATCGTAAAACGATTCGATTTGATCGAAGAAAATTAGATGCATATGTCAAAGAATACGATTCGATTCTCATTCGGTTGGATAATCAGAAAGCTCAATTTGACATCTATCAAACAAACGAAGATGATGAAATTGTTGATCTTTCAACGTACGTTATTTTGATCAGTGCTATACATTTCTTTTCCTTTTTTCTTTTTAAGTTTCGGTTCACAAATCTTATCGTTCAAACAAATCGGTTATAAAAAGCTTGTTTTCCCAACACTCAATCATCTTTGGCAAGTCTACAGCGTTCAACTGTCATCCGATAATCAACAAATTCCGTTGATTCATTTCCATGTTCCATGGTCTCATGAAGATCTATACAATTTGGTTACTTTGCGCAATCCTTCATCTCCATCGTCGACTCTTCCCGAATCTCTTCACCGACAAATGCGTTTAAAACTTCATCGCTTACCACCATCGATGTCATTTGATCAACCTGCTTCTCTCGAATTCTTTCTCGATCCCAGATCGACCTATACAATCGAAATTCACTATTCATTCCTCGACATCCTTGCTCAATTAGTTCGTTACTATATATTCCTTTTGCCAACATTTCTCTTTACGGTTTTATGTATTTCTTATTCGATGCAAGTTAATGATGCTCGACTTCGAACATATCAAACAATGCTTGCATGGCAAATCCATCTTCCCATCGCTATAACAATCACCTGCCTCTATAAAATCATTATCATTCTGTTTCCAACAGCTGATTTTGTTGTGAACATCCATTCCAATGGTTACTATTTCTTCCTCTTACCACTTATTCTCTATTACGTTGCACTGAGTCTTTGGGCATTGATATCCTTTGTTATCGATTATATGATATTCGATTTCACTCGCTCGTTGTTATATCCCGGAGTGCTTTTCCTTCATAATGAACTGAATCGGCAAATGAGATATGTACGTTGGATCCAATGGGTTACTTTGAGTATGCCACTGCTGTCCACATTCGTATTTAGTGGTTCAAATGGTCATATTAGTTTATTTCTGTTAGCTTTGCTTCATGTTTTATGGCGCGGAACGCTTAATCGGCGTTTAAAAGAGATTTTGTCGACCTTACTTTTCTTTCATGGTCTTTTAGTTTGTCTTAATGTCACCGGATTTATTATTCATGTTAAGACCATTTTCGCTCAAGGTTTATTGCCAATTTATGTAATCATGTCCGATCCATCGCTCGTTTCGGCGATCTGCTGTACTGGATCATTCTATCTTCGATTTGTCTTTGACCGAGCTCAAAATCGAACGATTCAAAAGATTAAATTAATTCTTTTTCGATATAATCGATCTCTTCTTGTTTCATTAGCATTGATTAGTCAAATTTATTGTTCTTATTCAATGTATCACCTTTGGATATTAATCTTTTTCGTATTCATTCATGCTGCTGTGATATTCTTTGTTCCAATTCATCAAGAATAAACTTTAAAAAACGCAATCTTTTTCTTATACCACAAATTTTGAAAGAATTTTTTTTTATTTCAAAAATATAAAATACATAACATTCATTAATAAATCATCCTTGATTTAGGCGCTAGGTTTTTTGTCAAGATATTTAGTAATTGCGATAAACGGTTCTAAAACCTCATTCGATGGTTAATCAACATTGTTTGGAGAACTGTAATGATTCGGACGACGATCATCGAAGGATTGCGATACTGAAAATGTCGATGGATGCTAAAAGAATCATTTCAATGTTTTTAATCGATTGGGAATGAACAAATTCGTTTTACTGAATGGTAGGTTGACTTTGACAATCGTCGTTCTAAATATTGTCGAACCTCATCAGACGTATGACATGTTTTGAGAATCGCAAGAAGATCATCAGGATCGTTCAAAGAATAGTTTACTGCACGGATTCCTTGCACTGCGGCATGTGCTTCATGACTAGTATAATGTGAAAGGGCAGGACAGAAATGTAATGCTTCGCTGAGAAATAAACGATTGATACGCTAAAAAAGAAATTTTTCACCGTGAGAAATCGCTTTGTCTAGACTTCAGAGGACAAAACATTACGTCCGAATCGCTATCATTGACATTGTGAACAGTACTAAACAGATCTGTCAATGGGTTCGCTCTTAAATCATCCCGAAGTGTTGCTAAACAGTCTGTAAGATTATCAAGCGAAGATTCAATAGGATTTCCATTTGAATTTGTTCTATTCGACTTTATTGCTATGATGGACTGTGCTTTGTGAGGATCATCACTGTATGCCATTGATTCACGCAAAATACGATCAGGACAGTTCGACATGTTGGGTGATAGTTGTTTTCTCCATTGATTGATATCATATCGATGAGGGTCCATTTCATACTTGATATCAACGACTTCTGATTCAATGGTTGATCGATCGATCCGTTCATGTCGTTGAATCCTATCTTGAATTCGCGCCTGAAAATCGCAGTCACACTCACATCAAAGGTGAAACTGATGGATTACTTTCAATTTATTAGTAATATTCAAAGTCATTTGATCTTGATCAGGTAATTCATACGAATTCAGTGAACCAGATCGATGTGGCTAAACATACGAGGAAGATAAAATTGTTGGTACGTAGAACCTGCGTTCAGTAATTGAACGAGTTCTCAAAGAACATCATTCAAACAGTATACATTTTAGTATTTACCGAATTCCACCGAGCGCTGTTCGTTCGATCGAATGATGATGAAGTGAAATTTCTACTTCTGTAACCTCTACCAGTAGCCATTCGTTATCGAAGAGCAAAACGGTAAGAGAAAATACAATGAATAATTCTCTTTCTCTTCAGATCACAGCAATCAATATCAAATCTAGAATATTAGGTGTCGGTTTTTTAAAATTTCTTTTTACAAATAACATAAATATGCAAAACCAGTTTTTTTAAACACCACTAAAAAATTTAACAAAAAAATGAGGATTTCTGTCTTAAACATTGTATTCCGAAATCACCGGGCGTTGTAATTTAGGTTTCTTCAATATTTTCGGCCGACCCAATAATTGCTTTAATTTGTCTTTACACAACTGAAAGGAAAGACAAATCAACAAAACTATTTCTCGCGAATAACATCACATACTGCAATTAAATTATTTCGATTACAGTCTGTCGGAATAGTAACGGATGATTTCGTCAGCATTTGCTGTAGGTTATTATCTTCGAAAATATCCCTGAAACAGATGAGTTTGACAAATACTGTTTTTTGTTTTAGTTACATACCAAGGCTCAATTTGAAAACGCCATATTAGAGAACAGAGAAAATGCTTATAGCAAGCCCTGATGAATAAAGATAACGCCAATCAGAATGACAAAATAATAGAAAAAGCATACTCGCATAGTCGACCACCACCGATGGGTGATGTTTCTTTGTTACATCCACTAATTGGACATTTTTCTTGTTGCGTTCCGGCAAGTTTTTCCAACTCTGCATCTATGTTTATATTCTGATCCTTGTTTGAAGACGAAAAAATATATTCTACGAGGAAAACAAAGCACGATACTTACTTTTAATACTTTGTGAAGCGTCTGAATTTCAGCAATACGAGTTTCACGAAAACAATTCCACGCGCAATGTGCGTGAATCGTACTCTTTAAAGTGCAATTTTCTTTGTCGCATTTCTAGAGAAAATCCATGTCTATTTTTGAATCTATATATTTTTGATAAATCAATACCGGTCCTTTGGAAGGTGAATAGAAGAGTGTAGAACACATACGACAAAAATCTGTCTTGCAATTCAAACACGTAAAATGCTCGCAGCCTCCCGCTTCACTAAAAAAAACAAACCCTATCAACTCATTTTGTCGTACTATTAACTTACTACTGATATATATGTTCACATTTTGGACATACAATAGCTGTATCGCGTATGATCTTCAACGCTTGCACGGTTTCATCATCAGGATCGTTTTCAATTAACCATTCTGTATATTCATCACAATTCATAGTCGAATGTTCCGCATGCCACTGGATTTCAAGACATGTTTCAAGTAAATTAATCATAAAAACGGTTTCTTACTTTTTTCGCACAAAGACGACATTGAGCGAAATTGCATTCTTGACAACGAGCAACACCAACGGTATCATCATTATCGGAGTAATAGTATCCGGTGCACTAAAGTATCAGAGACAAAAACTAGACGTCGAAATTTACATGCAAATATATTTACTTTTGAACTACCACATTTCTTTATTCGTTCACCAGCTAATGCGATTAAAGAATCACGTTCCCACTTTCCAAGAGCTTCGGGATCATCTTTGAACCATTGATGAATCTAAAGAAAGATTTCTAAAGGCATATTTCGATGTTTGTCAAAACATACTTTCGAAAACAAGCAAGGTAAAAAGTTCGATCGTCTGTCGGACGCGATTTCAACAGGAGTCTCAATACACGTGAACATTTTTAATGAATTCTCATCCGTTATTTCAAAGATTTTCACCCGATAGTATCGTTTGACACAATCGGAACAGAAGCTATGCTCACACAGAAGCATTGCTTCTATTTTCGTCCGTGGATATGAGCCAGTGCACATCGAACAAGTAAATTCTAAGCAGGCTATTGTATTCTGTATGAAATTATCGTTGAAGTCTATTGATGTCAGGATATTCTTCAACGTTTCTACGTCCAAGTTTTCGATAACTTCGCTCGAACGTTCACATAAAATTCTAGCAAGTGTTTCAAGTTTAACTGGTACTTGGTCACCAATCAGATGAAATAATTCCGAATAAATTAATCGGAACATTTTCTATACAAAAAACATAACCACATTTAGAAAAGTTCTCTTTGTCGAAATACCGAAACAAATTCTTCATCTACTGATTTGTCGCCGTTTTTTTTATGTAGTTGTTGTATGGATAGTAACAGATATTCAATGTGGTTCCATTTCTAAATAAGAATACTAATAGAAGTTGTATTTCAGTCATCGCTAATACTTACATCTTGCTCATGTGATGCTTGTATCTTGTTGTTATTCGTATCAAATGATGCAGCCGACCAGTTAGAATGTCTGAATAGATATACTTTGGCATCTTTCGAGAATACTTCGACTGGTTCCTGTGAAATAGGTTGTTCGGTGCGCGGAGTCTGAGCAACATCAAAACGAAAGAGTACACGAGTAATTGACATCGAATGAAACATACTAAATTCGACGGATAGTGATTCAGTATGCTGACAGCTCGATTTATATCAAAGTTTGATCGAATAAGACACTCAATATAGACTTCATCTGCTCGACGTTCTCTCGTTTGTTGCTGTCGATTCTTTAATTCGATTATACACTGATCTAGTTTTCCATCAATGTCGTCAGTGGTACAATGGAAGTTTGATGAAAGCTGTTTCAAAACAAGTATCGCCAGCTGTCGACGAACGAAACCCGATGAGGGCGATGAATTGTATGGTGTTACGAGACTTTTCTACGACGAAATAAAGTTCTTCTAAAGAATATCAGACAACGAGCCTAACCTTGAATGATTGGAACATTTGTAAAGCATTTTTGTTTTCATTTTCGATCTCGTCGGCAGTGAGTGGAGTGTGCTAAAGGAGAAATGTCTGAGCTTATGAGCAATCAAGCATAAGACTTACAACAGAAGATGTTGTACGGTATTGTGGGGAATGGTTCTAGAATAAAAATCGAGCATTGATTCGTATTCTCATCGTGAAGAGTGGTTTTACTTGAAGGAATTCTTTTAAATTATCCACAGGTTCGCTTTTCGCAGTTTTTAAGTAGGTGAAAAACTTTACAAATTCCTCTACTCCCTTTTGACGTCGCGTCGTTTTGTCATACGATGTCTCAGATCGATACACATAGTGATCATCTGTCTCGCATTGATAGCCAATATATTCCAACAAGCACAATGTGTTCGTCTACAGCAAAAGAAATAGATATCATACTGTCAACCAAGTAAAGATTTCAAACAACTTTTTTTTTAAGATCGTTGACAATCGTTTGACTTAAACGTATCCCATCAGTTGCATGTTGCAAGAATATCAAATAAAGGGGTGTCAATGCATCAAATAAACTATTCAAATCTTCTGTGATCTAAAAAAGAAACAGAAATAGAAAGAAAAAATATTTCGTGTCAGTGAGATCCATACGTGATCCACGCGAACGTTCGCTAGAATGATATCCTCTACCGGCAACAATCGGTAGTCAGAAAACGATACCATCATCTAAAACAGAATTATTTTATTTGGAAAATAGTTTTATCTGACTACCAAGGTATGTTGACATATAAGAAAGAAGAAGAAAAGAAGCACGTTCGACGTAAACAACCTCGTTTTGATGTCGTTCTGTATGCGCGAAAACGACTTGCAAGCTCACATGTTTAACTGCACGGCGTCATCGACAGGGAAAAACCTACAAATCAAAGGAATATATCAGAATAAAGGATAAATTGTCAGTAAAATGATGAGAAGACATTCGATTCAAATAAAATAAGCTATTTACAAACATGCATAGGAATTAAGTACTAACTTCTACAGAATATAATAGCAGTGGGAAAAAACCGTGGAGAGAAATGAATGAAATGAGTCATTTACGTTCGCTGAATATGACGCCGCGAATGCAGTTAAACAAAATACATCTAATTATTCACTAGCGATAATTACTCATAGCGTATCTTTCCAATCAGCATTATGTAAAATTTAAAAAAAACACGTCGAAATGTTATTGATATCTTTATATTCAATCAAATCTGACCAGAAAGGACTTTGTTGTCTTGTTACAGGAGAAAATACAATTATCTGACGATCTGATTCAAGAAATAAAAATAGAGATGTTAGTGTTTATGCCAAGTACAAGCAGTTATATTAAATAGCGTGACGAAGAGCAGCTAAGCGACTATTTTGTGCCGCAGCTTCCTGTTGAGCAGGTGTAATAACTGAATGTTCAACTGTTGGAATAGCATCAAGTTGAGCACGAATATCCAAATGATTTTCATCGGCAATTTGACGTAGAAGATCTTGAACAGCCTCCGTTGGTGTGCTAGTAGCCATTACTTCGTTCATTGCTCTGTTGATCACTTGTTCTTTCACATCAAATTCTTCAAATGCCTAGAATTCAGTAAACGCTACATTCTTTCGAATGTCCATGAAAACAGCTGATTCTTACTTGTTCGAATCTATCCATGACTTTCGATAATTCACCGGCGTTCATTTCCTTGTTCACACTTTCAAGCATCTTATTCATTTGACTCATATTTCTCATCATTAAATTCTGCGCATTTGCCTGCTGAACCTGAAGGAAAGTATTGAAAGATATCATTCGTTAATTTTCAATTCGATTACTTTAGCAATGACGCTATCGATTCGTGATGCCATCATTAAAAATTGATTGTGTGCTGTTCGATTTTGAACAGCTGTTTCTGCGTAGATACGAGCTGTTTCCATATCACCTGATTTCTTCAAAGCATCCAATGCTTTCTTCCGACTTGTTTCGTACTTTTTCTCAGCGGCTGATGCTTCTCTTTCGATCATTTTCTTTGTGAAACGAAGATTAAATTCAGCATTAGTTCCCATGATCAAATAAATCTTGTCTTTTGAAAGAATTGTACTGACGGGAATAGGTTCTTAGTTGTAAAATATGTAAATACGTGTACGGATTGGAAGGTTTTGGGAGAAATTTGATCTGAATAGATGGCATTAGTTCACTTGAATAGATTTCTATGCTGAATTACTCAAGTTTTCTTGCAAGGTTTTTCTATTCACGCGCCTTCATTCAGTTTTTCATTTTTTTTCTCGAATTTAAAATCAGCTTTTCTTCGATTTCGACATACACTGATGTTTTCTTACAATTCGACTAATAATTGTCTTTCGTCAAACAACTACAAGCCATGTAACACGATGTATTCCTATTCGAACTGCTGCAACAGTTCGATCAACAATAATATGAATGAATGCACCCCATCTAGTTGCTTTCGCCCGCTTCAACTGCTGTACAAGACCGTATATTCATCTAATTGTGATAAGATTGCTTCCAATCCAACGATTGCTTGTATCTGTCGACCGGCAGAACGATACAAAACAACAAATATGTCTTACGGTAATTTTTATTATGATAATCAACTCTCCACACAAAAGGATCGAGTACTTAATTACGATCGGGCTATTTTTGCACGATGTTATGAGAATAAGAAACGAGCAGAACATCAATCGAAGAACAATGACCGCGCAAAAGAGTAAAAAAAGACGCACTGTATCGCCGCTTAACTTTCTTCGTCATTTGTCCTAGATCTTTTCTCATGTCGAATCCGAACGACATTCAGGAAGCTCAACTATGGACTCAAACAACGAGTGATGCATGTTGCCCAGTGGATTGCTGCACAAATAACAGTAATAACTGTCCAACTAATCCAACCTACTATACACCATGTTCTACAAACACCGTTCCATTGTGTTCGACCCCAATGCCATCAGTACCGAATCAAACATTCGATTCCCCCACTCGTTATTTTTAAACCATTTCCATACGAAGTTTGCTTTTCGTTCATGAAACATTCCTTCCTTGTACATTTCTAATTCATCTCTTCATTCCATATTACTCGAAAGAAAGAAAAAAACAGGATAAGAAGACGTAGCAACAGTAAACGCAAAGAACAAAGCAGAACACACTATACAAAAACATAGGACCACGTGCAAATCCAGTAGTAGTCATAGCAGGAGCTGAAAACCTAACTCAAACGAAATCGTCTAGATTGGTGTCTGTTTCAAATAGTAATGAATTTTTGGAAAGATATTTGAACGTAAAGCCATTGAATATAACTCGTCTTTCGTCAGTTGGCCATTCCCTAAACAAAATCTCAATAGAAATGAGTCTCAAGCATTCGAAAAATGTCGAACCATCATCATCGAATAATGTAACCATTCTATCAATCATTGCTCGACGTTGCCGTTCGCGTCTTATTTGTAACGTGAATTGTTGTTGATTAGGAGTTTGAAGAACTACTGTTGGCGGTTGTTGAACTTGTACAGCAACTGCATTCGAATACATCGGAATACCGTTTATTTGTTGATTTGGAATACGTCGATAAAATTTGTAGGGTTGTTGAGGATACACTGAACCATCAGATAATTGAACCATAGCAACAGGTAATCCTTGTTGATTGTAATTGACTACAACGGAAACATATACAAAGAATTTCCTCGATGTGAAAGTTTACCTGAAGGTGTTTGATAGAGAGGTAAAGAAGATGTTTGGCATGTTAAGAATAAAAATATAAACAAAATTAAGTGAATCCGATTTGCTACGATTATCTGTAGCTTAATCTCTTGATTAGAATGTCTTTGTTTAGTTGAATGTATAATCTGTTTGTAATAGTCATCATTATCAATCGAAATATTATCTTGACAATGATCAATTTTTGTATAGTTCATTGATCGATTCGAATCATCGCGAAATACTTCTTGCATCATCATCATCGTCTCAAATGATTCTTATTTAGTTTGACAGACATGTTACAAACGAGAATAACAAGCTGAGAAAAGCACATAGTTGACGTCGATTATGCATTTGTATATATCTGAAACAAAAAACATGAACATCAATGTAATCATTAAAAAATAAAGCTGAAACAAATTGATGTTGTTCACTAATCACCGCCGTCTTCTCATAGACATTCTTTCTCACGTTAATCCCACATCGTCGGTTCTATTTTGTCACTAGAAATCTTTTGGTGTCAAATTACATTTGCGAAAAGAAGGAATAAAAAGTTTTATGAAGATCAATAATCCTTGAATTTGTGTTTTTGTTTTTACCTGAAATTTTGACTTTCACAGAAAATGGATATGTCGTATTCAATGAATATGTCTTATATGACCATCGTTATATGTATTTTTCTCTCTCATCGCTTCTTGCCTCTCCCTCTCCTTCTCTCTTTCTCTGTTGTTTATTGCATCATCTTACGCGAAAAGAATATTCAAGAGGATCAAGAAGTGAAATTGACTTATATTTAAATGATGATAATTGCGGTCGACATGTATTAGACATTATGTATATATGAGATTTAGATTGGATATATCTGCGTCTATATAAATTCTAATTATCTAAAGTGTCAGAGATAAATACGATAAATAATAATCATATCAAAGGCATATCTTGTCACCTTGATTGACATGAAACAAAAAGAAATAGGAAGGTGGAAAGCGATGATTCTTCTATTGAACGATCGAAGGTAAAGCTACGTCTGTTAATAGATAATGACGTATATTCTCAACAAAAGAGTCAATCGTTATGCAGACAAAATTCAATGTGACGGTGTTGAATCGAGGTCAGAGAAGAATACTTATCGAGAGACTAATGGATGTCATTGATAACTCTACATCGATTACGTAAATCATACAGAACATGTTCTAGTTTAGACGAATACTGTTCGAGTCGAAATCTTATCTAAACTAGAGAATGTTAAAATGCAAATGTCCGAAGATAAATGTACTTAATAGAATTATCGATTAAACCGATTAAAATTTTATGATTAACGTGTTGTCTATTTCGAAAAGACAAACAAATAACAAAAACATATCAATCGATTCTCTTCGGTTTATTCGTATCTACTATAACCTGTGGATAAATTCAATTTAAATGAAAGAAAGCGATAGCAGCTGTCACCTCCGCCTCGTTTGTCTCGCCGTAATGTATCGGTTATCATCTTCACTTTCTCTCTTTTCCTATTTTGCACACGCCACACTAATCATCATAGTCGTATAGACAAAATTACATCTGTATGAAAACGCTTTAGGTCTTCTCACATTCAATATGTCCACACACACACTTTTCATCTTCACATACATTTGATCGGTCTTCTCTATTATCAACAGAAAATATATAAACGATGTAACACACTCGATAATGACACGTCAGCGCACACACATCGATGATTCGAAATGTAGTCAAAGAAGAAGGAAGAGATTTTGAAAGATAAGGCTATTAACTCACTCAACAAATTCGAAAACTTTCACCCGTGAGTACCGAGTTCCTTTTTTTTTTATGTTCGCAGACGAGTGTACGACTAACTCTCTGGATTATTATCATCAGAAGCTTGTCACTTAGACTTTTGTAATTAATGAAGAAAAAATATCATGCCTTTTCGATGACAAATAGTTACAGATATCTTTTCTGCTGTACTTACACTTGTTGTTGTTGTTATTATTATTGCCGTCCTACACGAGTATTTATCGAAAGGTCAATTCAAGAACGATAAACATAAATCTGCTATATACATACTATTTTTCATGTAATCATTATAAAAACCAATAAATAATGAAGTAACTTTTTGCTAACTTACGTTTTTTACATCCAGGTCTAAACCACAAGCATGTACACGTCGTTCTCTATATGTATTTTATATCTTTCTTGCTTTATCTAAACTTCCGTTCTCATCATTCTCTCTCTCTAAACGATATACTTTTTCATTCGCTGTTTCTCTCTCTCTCTTCTTCCCTACCTTGCAAAAGCTGCATATCCCTCTTCTTCTTCTTCTCTCTTCTTTTTTACTGCAGCGTCTGTCTGTATATACGTTTTTTTGTCATCGAATCAGTGGCTGTCGATGTTGATCATGTATATATATATATATACACATATGCATTTATGTTACACAAGTACATAAATTCGAGGGTCATCAAATGTTCATTCTTGTGTAAAAATTTAATTATTAAAAGAACATACTATACTACATCGAAGGAATCCATAAGAAAATGCTGAGGAGACTCGCCCATATACATACATTTGTAGCGAAAATTCTAATCATATTCGTTAGTCGTGAATCGAGCGATATCGATCAGTTTTTCTTTGACGATACATATTTCTCTATATGATACTATCTAGAAATCATTCTTTTCATTTTACATACCATAGTCAATTGAAGTGAAAGAATTGATCATTTCCTTAATGCATAACGTGTTTCTTTCTTTCTCTCTTATTCTATGTTTACTCGATAATCGATTGTTCAAGGTTAAAAAGACGTTATCTCTCTTTTCTCTTTTGTATGTGGAGATGTGATGAGAAAACCTGAACGATGCTCATTCATTGACATGAATAGCACATAGACACTTGAAAGAAACGAATCTTCTTCGTATTGTTCAATGTACTCTGCATATATTATCATCCTGATCGTTTACCAATTTCAAGTACGAATTAGGCATGCTTATGAGATGCTACTGTTGTACACTGTACACTTGAGAAAAGAAAGGAAGAAAGCATACAGTCTGTTAATTCTTACTCTGCATTTCATACTTGAGAAGCCTTATTAAAAAATAAAGCTGAAATCGAACGGTGTAGTAGATCTTGCGATTCATCTTTGACTTCTACGACATGTGTATGTTCAACATAAAAAGTCGGTTATTCAAGGAATATGAAGTGATGATGGTTGTGTCAGCGATACCATTAGTAATATAGCAAAGAAGTGGGATATTCTTATCAATACTCACTCGTATACCAAATATAGGAATATCACACCACGTCAACCCATTGATTGCAATTCGAAGAATGTGTGATGTTAGTAATGCCATGTATACAGCTGTAGATTGGTGTCATTGTCGTGAATTGATCAAGGTTCAGTTAATATTGAATTTTCGATGTTCCTCCTCTTCCAAATGGCACAGACTGATAGTTGAAGAACGTATGTCGAAGTCTGCGGTGATAGAAGCTATAAAAAGTCATAATGATGTGTAATATTTGTTAGTTTAAAACTGCGCACAAAAAACATGAGATTTAATAAAAGATCGTTTTCAATGATATAGTGGATCAATATTTGATTCCAAAGAAAAAAGAAGTACAATATATAGACTTTATTCATCCTTGAGTTATTGTCAGGTGTCAAGAGAAAACCGACACTAATATATTGTTGCATTCGACTTACATGAGTATAATTGAATGTTTATGTAACAATTAATCTTCTATTAGAAAGAAAAAACAAGAATGTTGTGTTCATTATCATGCATAGCTTAGAAATGATTGATTTCCTTTGCTTCTCAATGAGAAAATATGGCATTTGTATATCTGAGTAAAGAAACCATGAGAAATCGATTGACATTGATGAACGTATATATATATTCTCAATTAATTGACCATGAACACTCCACTTCATTCATCAAGCATACATTATTGAACAGTGTCTCGAGAGTTTCAATTTGTATTTGCGCAAAGCAACAGAAGAAGAAGAAAAACAAGAACAGAGGAATATTGACCGAAGACAAGACAGACAAGCGAGTAAACATGACAGAGTATCAAAATTTATCAAAAAAGAATTTGAACACAAAGGAATGGAACTAATCAACCACCACCATTGCCTCCACCAGCTCCCGGGCCACCTGCATCCTGAGTGAAAGCACTTTGAAGAACCATGATAATAACAACTGGAACTATATACTTCCACTATAAAAGAACAAAGAACGTCAAGTGTACTTTTTCATCTCGCAATGTATTTCTACTCACATATTTGAGAATAAATGGTCGATTGTCAGCTTCTTGAGCGTTTAATTTTGCTTCCTGTTGTCGTTTAAGTTTTTCCAGGAAGCGTTGCGTATCAGGCCTAGAAACAAAACGAGATAAACATTCAATTTTGAATTGATCTCTTCCACTTACTGAGGTCCAATTTCATTCAATTGAAAGCGCATTGACACTTTATAGTTATACTCCGATTTCTTCTCGATTTCACTCAGATGTGGAAGACTACACGTTGAATTTCCTGTATTGGTTTGTGCACTGACAACATAACCATTTTCATTGACATACAAGGTGACAGTATACTGGAATTGTGTTTGTAAAACAAGACACTGCAAAATATGAAAATTAATTTAAGAAAATTCAACGAAAAGATTTACCATCGGTATCGATGTCATGACGTAATCTTGTATTGCACCACGTTTAAAATGAACTTTTAAAGTATAGTAAGGATAGTCACTTCTGAAGTCTACTAATCGATCAAATTGGCCGGATGAGATCGTTCGTGATGGTGTCAATTCTGTCTCCGTTTGACGAGAAAGTTGAATATTGATTTTCGAAAACGACGAAAATTTTCCATCTAGATTTAACAAATACGGTCAAAATTTTGCTTCACATCGCAATTCACCTATATTATCTTCGAAGTTTAACGATACAAAACCATCGTTTCCATCATCCAGTGTCTGAAGAAAAAAAAAGCCAAAAACATGGCGAGGTCTTCTTTCTGAAACTTTTTCTTTATACGTACTGAAATTGCATAGAATTGTACGATTAAAACAATGAAACCAACAATGAGATTTTTTTGTTCGAACATCATCCTCAAATGTGATGATAATGAGAAAAAAAACATACAAATAATGTCCAATGATTTTCATTCGATAGCGCATCTACCAATCAACAGACATTTCAATTAAGGTCTGTGTTGTTTTCTGATAAAGAAGAGAATATATTTACTAAAGATGGATTTCGACAATGAATTCGCCGGTAAAACGGTCATCGTAGGAAATAAGGTATGTAGAAGATTTCTCGAAGCATGTGATTTCTATTGTGAATTGATGTAGACATATGAACTGGACAAACTTTCACCTGAAGAACGCTTCCGCGTTCGACATGAAGCCGTTCATGAAAAACACAAAGGACATGAATCTATGCACATGGAAATGGTACTTGTCTTACTTCTTTCGCTTGTTATTTGCCAATTTATAATCTTATTCTGGAAAAATTATCATCTCAAATCTTTTCAAGTAAAACATCATTGAAATTGTTCATATAAATAGGTGATTGATAAAACTTCTTTTTTTAGTTTTTCACAATGATTGCAATGTGGTTAATTCCATTCGGTTTGTCGATCAAGTTTCATTATTTTCGTTTTATTGTTATTTGGATTTGTTTCACACTTATCACTACTTATGTTACTCGACGAGCGACACGACAACCAATTGAACCAAACACGCCACGGTAATCGAAACAGAAAACGAGATCATTCTCTAAACTAAATGTATTATCTTGTCATCGAAATTGTAGATTAGTTTATAAATGGTTCCTCTTGGTTTTCAAAGTTTCTTATGGTATGGCGATCGCTGGATATTTTCTGATTATGATGACTTTTCTTGGAATTAATAATCTATTCTTAATACCTGCTCAAGTAACGTCCAGAAGATATCTCTTTTGAGACTGAGTGTTTTCTTTTCAGGGTGCGTTAGATTTCGGAATTTTAATCATGTTCTATGGCATTTATTATGGTGTACTCGGGAGAGACATGGCAGAATCGTGTACGGATCGAATGGCGTCAAAGATTGGAGTAATTTCACATTGGATAATTTGAAAAAAAAAGAACTTTTTTATGTATTTAGTACTACTCAGAAAGTGGCTTACCAAAACGAGCATTAGAATCGAATATGTGTGCGGTTTGTGCTAATCCAATAATAGTACAAAATAATGAAGAAGCTCTCATTGAACGAACATATAAATTACAATGTGGCCATACGTAATTACATTTGAGCGATAAGACAAATGATTTCAAATGTTGTTTTTATGAATAGATTTCATGAATTTTGTATTCGTGGTTGGTGTATTGTCGGAAAGAAACAAACGTGTCCTTATTGTAAAGAAAAAGTCGACTTAAAACGATTATTTCCCAATCCTTGGGAGGTACGATGACTTTCTGTTGTTACATTAATTCAAAATCTTGCTTTTCATTTCTTAGAAACCTCATGTTTTGTATGGAAATCTTCTTGATTGGGTACGATATCTAGTGGCATGGCAACCATTGATATTATTACTTGTGCAAGGTGTCAATTATGTTCTTGGCCTTGAATAGGAGAGCAAAGTGAATTTGCTCGGTTTTATTTCCTCATTTTGTTAGTCAATTCGAACACGTTCAATAGACAATCTTCACATAGCACATTCGATTTTTATGTTTTTGTTGTTTTCCATTTTGTATTGTCCTATACATTTAACATATTTACATAAATATAAACCTGATGTTACGAATTAGCCTGTGAAAATCTTTACCCTGCGTCGAAAGAAAAACGAGGCGATGCTCAAGGGTGAACGGATGATTGATTTTTCGATACGGCAATAGATTAGACGACTGATTCGTCTAGAAAGACACACGTCATATTGTACAGTTTATATACCTATTTTCTAGATAGATAAGTAATTAGTTCGTCAGTCAATTTTCACGCTCGAACAGCTTTCAACAATGACAGATTTCGCTGAGATTTCTTCTGTAAACTTGAACGAATATGAAGTCAGTCGATGTGTGTTTCACAACGAAAGTTTCAAGTAAATTCGCATGTGAACTTCTTCCCGAGAACTTTTTTGTTATTGTACATCACAGGGATGAACAGTTAGATACAATTATAATTAATCTGATCAAATCATGTGGTTTCAAAGGTGAATAACAAAAATGTTTATCAATTCTGATGTTTGTAATTTTTCACCATAGATTCTAATCCGGATTGTATACGTGTCCTTCGAACATGTTTATTCAACGTTTATCAAGATCTTCTAATGCGATTGAAACAACATATGGAATCGCTGGGCTCGTCAGTCACATTTCAAGATGCTTTCGAACGAACATTAGACGAAGTGCTGTCCAGCAATCTACGAGAATTGTATTGCTACATGAAACACGAACATTGATTTGTTTGATGAGTTGATATTTGTCTTAAACGACATATGTGTACTTTTTGTGTAATAAATTCAGTATGAGGAATTTATACTTTTCAAGGCTTTCACGACGATATAATGAAGGTCTTGACGAGGGAGACTGTCGAAGAAAAAGCTCGCATTAAGGTGAATCATTTTTATCATGTTTATGCAATCAATGACACAATTACCTTGATTTTGTCATTCGAACGCAGCGAAGTTAACAGTAAGTTTTGTTTTATCTAGAGAATTTCAATTCAAACAAATAGATTCATACTGTTTTGTTTTTTCCTTTTATGATTCATATTCTTTTCGAAGAAAACAAAATCTGTCATTGGTTAGGAGAGGAGGTATATTGATTTCATTTAGGGAAATATACTTTCAACAGAATACTTATCTTAGCCTATTTAATCATTTGATAGATACAAATTTGAAGTACAATTTCTTATTAAGGAAATATCTTCAAGCAAGTGGAAAAAACCAATCAATCCATTCTTTTTTGTCGTAATAAACGATAAGACCAAAACACGTGTCAAAAGTAAATAGGGCAAGCGACTTGTGTACTTGGATTTCATTCTTCGCTTTCACACGAAGCAGAAGGATTATTATCGAAACAGAACGATGACGTCGGACGAAGTCAGCGTTGCAAATGTTCAATTACCGACCACAATTCCATCGTTTACTAAACAGAGCATACATCTGTATATTCTACGCAGTTCACCAGTCGATGAGACGTTCAAAATCAGAGCTTTCTTAAACAACGAATACAAATATACGTTTCGTCGAATCGAATCTTTCAATGAACAAGAACGCATTGGTCCATATATTTATCGAGCGGATGTGGATCTATATCTCGATACACAAGATCGTCCGCATATTAAACTTGACAATGGTCTATTACCCATTTCCAAATATCGTCTACGTCTTTCTCGGAAAATTCCTCACTCGGATACAACATTCCGTGATTATAACGATGACAAAGAACGAACTTTCGAGAATATTCGTACAACTATTCATCATTTCCTATTCGACGTTCATTTTGCTAAGAACATTGTCGATGCCGCACCTGGTAAGGCTCAATTTTGACATTTACACACTCATTAATTTTCACTTTTAGGGAGTAACGTACCCTTTTGGAGTCAATTGTGTTTATATACTTACTACATTCTTCGCCATCAGATTTATCCGACGTTTAGAGTCTTAACTGAACAATTCATTAGAAGTGTCCAAGAAGATAAACGTAAATTAGCCACAGCAGATGTCAATGAATTTTTTCAAGATTGCTTTACCTATTCGCCTTATGCATTGTCCGTCGAAGCAAGAGAAGGCGTCGTGAATAAAATTATTATTTGTATGATGGGCATTCTGCCGATTGCAAAATCAAATTTCGATGTAAAAAGTCAGTTTACCGTAAATTTTACTTTGGCAATGACTGGAACATTACGAGAACATTTCGATAAAGTGTTTGCAACGGTTAGCCAAGACGAATGGCCGTTATTTCGTGATGGTTTGGTTCTGTTTGTGTCCATTGAGCTCTTAATCAAAGCGGGTGACACGATGACACTGATTCATCGGATGAAAAATGAAAAATGCAAAAAAGATCTTGCAAATGTCTTATTGCAACGTCTAGAAGAATTACAAAGACCAATCATTGGTTTGAATTGGACTGATTTGTTTGCACTCGTGGATCAAAATATTCTCACTTTAAAACAAATTGAATTGACTGAATCAATTCCGATCTATATCACTTCCTTAATACAACTTTTGGAAATCCAGAAAAATAGCAGCACACTTCAGGATCAGGTCATTCGACAATTCGACAATCTGATATTTGAAAGTCGTTTATCCGGTAAAACATCGTCGTTCTCTTTTATCTGAATTCACCATGATCTATTTTTAGTTAATCTGGACAGCATCACTTTCTTACTCAAATTTTCACAAGTGGATACCGCAGAATCAAGTGAAGCAGACAAGGAAATTCTTCTAGCAGTGAATAGAGCAATTGAAAGTAGCATTCAATTGCGTGCAAGGATCAAGGATTATTTATACTCATTGACCATCACAGCACAACACTTCCGTGATATTCATTTGATTGTTTCATCTATCTCCAAATCCATTATCTTGTACCTAATCAAAAAACGAGATTTGTTAATGCATTTATTCTCCCATGCTCATACCTCGTATTCGTATGAGTTTTTCAAACAATGGTGTCTTTCATTTCTGATATTCAATGATCCGATAAATGATCGAAATAATCAAGATTACCAAGATCTATTGAAACAATGGTCGAACCAAGTCAATCGAAATTCTGAGGTTAAAATGAAAATCATCATGGATGTTGATACATTCATAAATGCATTTGTAAATGAACACCACTATCGATCAATTTTCATTGAACATATGATCACTCTTTGTTTTCAGCAAGGTTCGCTTCAATTCACTTTCGTTTTCCCATCCAAACCATTTGTTTATTTTAGCATCGATCTACCTTGTTATATCTGAAGCATTGATTCACGTCCGCAATGAACTATTTCTCAATCAATTTAGGAAATATTTCGCATCTACACAATTAGTCATTTCTCAAGAGAAACTGAAACAATTACAGGATCCACAGAATCCCTTATATCATCTCATTCGAATCTACACACAAGTGAAAGGTCAAAGTGCATTGATAAATGATCTGATACAACTAACGAGTAGACAAATTAAATTTGAAGTCAATGAAATCTTACGGGACACATTCGAACGTCCGACTCGTACGACCTGTGTTTACGCCGTTCTATTTGATAATTGTTTTGAAAATACAACTTTACGGCAGATTATCATCGATCAACTTCTTGCATTGTGGAATTCTTGGGAAGAGGAAGGTTTTCGCGCAAATCAGCTACAAAACTGGAAGACATTCACGAAGGAGGAGCGTCAAATAGTCAAGCGCATATGGGATTACGTCGGAGAAAAGGCCGAAAAGCAGTACCAAATCGATTCATTAATCGATCGGCAAGGACGAGAAATGGAAGAAAAAATCCAAATTAAAGAAAAAATCATCAAGTGTCTAGAAGTCTATTGCGAACATGCATGTGATAAGGAAATCTTTTTCAGTCTATTAGCTGAAATCGACGATCAACTGAGATCCAGAGTTGTTCGTTCTATTCGAATTTCCAAAGAAATTCAAACACTTGTACCCTTAGCTGAGCGACTTAATCCGCTTGAAAAACTTCATGCTTGGCAAACATTCTTAGCCAAACATCAGAAAAGTAAACAGCAAACTTTGTACAACATAACATATCTATATTTGAATGTATTTCAAGTTGCTGCTCGAAAGAGATTGTCGTCAACGACTGCAGATAGTGCTTCGAGCTGTACAAGCGACGATGAGACGTTATCACCTGATGAAAGTAAGCAAATCTTTTCATAACTTTGATTTGAAGAAGAGTAAAGACTTCACATCGACCGATCTCCTTGATGATTGCAATTAAATGCGTCGAGATGCTTGCTCGATTGCATCCAGACAGTCGAAAGATTCTAATCAAATCGGAATAACATTGAGAAGAATCATGATGTTATGACGACATTCATGATGTGAATCACTGACCCATAGAATTGGATTGAAATCGAAACTTCATTCATACAACTTGTTGTATTTAGGATCAACATTAGACGAAGAGGCAATCACAAATGATTTGCCCAGTTCACCAAAGCCAATCCGATCAAATTCTAGAAACTGCTTTGCGGTTGATCGCCGCACTTGTATCGACATTTTAACGGAATGCATTGATATTCTCGACATATTCGGCGAGCGTTTGGAAACAATCTGCAGCACTTGGACTCGCTTACCGTTATCGGAACTACTAAATTTCTTTCCTGATCTACAATATATCGATCATGATTTTACAATTCTCAAGCCACTTTTACACCCAGATATTTCCGATAAACTCAAATCTATCTTAGATTATTGGAAGAACCGTGAACATATTCATCACATATGCCGTGGTTACATAAACCTCATCAGTAATCTTCAAAAGTCGGCTGATGCACTCTGTGACCATCTTCGCAAGGTTATCGAACTTCATCATGAAAGTCAATGTTTTAAATGTTGGACGCATTATCAATATTACCTTTCGAAATTTTCAGCTCAACGTTCCAAAGAATTCCTCGACTTTCTTTCTCAGTATAGTGTATCCTATGACTTAATTGCATTTTTAAATCTTCTCCCATCAACTGATGTCGATAATTTGCTACAAGCAGTGAATGATTGGGATGAAATTCTAATCAATACTCGAACAGTGTTGGATTTCGTGATGTTAAAGCGATTTTTTGTTTTGTTTAACCAAGAAATTAGTCCAACCGATGCCACTATCGAACAAGCGGAGGCAGCGTTCCTCAAAATTTTCGAAAATGAACAATTCAAAAATCTCAATCTGTTCAGTTGTTTTCAAACATGCTCCGCGTCATTGCCCAGTATCAAACGTATACATTTAGAATTAACCGATAAAGAATTATCGAAACGAACACATATATCCGATTTGATGCGAAAGATTACATTTCATTTTACAGTTCAAGCAAATAGATTCGACATTGATGTTCAACCGCAATCAATGAGTTTTAGTGATTTAAGTGAATTACGTGATCGAGCACGATTAATCGAATATTCCACAAATAAAAAGAATCAATTTCTTGTCGATGTCGATCGTGACATCAAAGAACGTCGTGCATTTGTAGAATTCGTTGAAACAGTCGAAAAAATTCTCAAGAACTTCTCCTCATTGAATGTCGCTGGCCATCCGTCAATTGTTGATTATCTTGCACCGAACAGATCCTTCATCTGTGTCAATTGTAATTACCAAGAATTGACCGAATTCAGTATTCAATTAGACACTCTTTTGGAATCATGGCAAACTGATCTCTGTCAAATGTATGAGAAACATCTGGATTTGACTTATTTTTCACATCAACAAATTTGGGTTATTGAAGATTATCTCTACAATCAAACCGAGCCTCTAACGACGAAACATGCCGGATATCATTTATTGAAGTATATCGGAATCGAGCCGAATACCATCCGTTCAGAATATTTACCTGTTAAAGGCAATAATCCCACGGAACGTTTGAAAAGTATCGGTAAAATTTTAACATCACAGCGAACGAAGATGGATTTGAGTGTAAAACAAGAAAGTATCAATATAAAAAAAGTCTATGTGGCCGAGACATCCAACGAAGGAATTTTACGGACCATACTGTCCTTATTCAAAATAACTGAAACGCCATGTTTGGTGAATCATCTCTTCTATTGTACAGAAGAAACCAGCTGGATGGAAATGCGTGCATTTGCTTACCGTTGTTTCTATTCTCAACAACTGCATCAATTAATTCGACCAGAGTTGTTATCATCATCGATTCAAGATCGTTTTACGCGTTTAATCAAGCAATTCATTGAAGAAAATCCTCAACGTTATTTTCGTTTAGGTCTGATTACAACTGTTTCAAGTACGCACTTGCAACTCATCAATGGTCTACGAACATTGCAGATCGTACTCACGATTCACGATCAAGATATGTTGAATGAACATGGCTTAAAAGAAATTATCCAAAAATCGATCGATGATAATTGTACCTTAGTCACATCGAGAATCAATGGTTTAGGTAAAACAAGTTTGATTCGAAATGAAATTCGAAAGAAGGGCAAAGTTTACATCAAATTTCCTATCAGTGGTGATATCGATGTTGATAACACTGCTGAACGCCTGTGTAATTATGGCGACCAATTAACATCAGCGAAAGCAGCTTTACATATTGACATCGGAGCAATTAACAATATGAAACAATTGAATGAACTCATTTATTGTCTACTACTCTTTCGAAGTTTTCGTTTTAAACAAACTGCAGTTTATGTACCGGTTGATATACCCATTTATATTGAACTCGATTCTTCACCCACTTCGATCGATATTCGTGAGAAAGTTGTTTTATTGAAATTCATCAAAACAAACCATATCGAACACATCGATTGGAATACATACAATATTCGTGATTCATCAGCTGTACGATTAATCATCAGATATCTTCAAGCCATTGACGATGGAACCATTCGAGAACATTGCATTGCTGAAGATCAGAACGTTGATATCGATCTACTGAAAGGTATCAATCAGTTGAAGGCAACTTTTCTGTTGGGCAAAGACTTGGAATATGTCACTTGGACGAAGTTGTCAATTTTTATTTCCGTTTATTATCGTTTGTTTTCGGGATTTTCACGATGTGGCTATTTCTTTCCTGATTTAATACCAGAGCCACAATTACGTTTAGATATTCTTCAAAGTTTTCTCAAGTCATCGAATCAATTCACATCGATGTGTGTTGAACGTGTTCGGAAAAACCAACGTTCAGTTAGTACAAATGATGCTGCTGTTTCGTTCAGCGAAGCCATTGTGTCTTGGGACGATACAGAACCATTTACAGTCGTCTTTTCGTCAACTAACGATCCACTATTCATATACAAACAGCCTACTGATGTTCCCGAATCGCTTGTGAGAACATTTCAATTATACATGAAAGAGACCACAAATCAAAAGAACTTGAAGTTAACGGACGTTTTCCCGGATTACAATCATTTCACGCATGTTCAATTCTTTCTGAAACTCGCATCCTTATCAAAGAAATATTTTTACAAAGCGATATGTACGAAATGTTACAGTCAATATGAATATAATTCTTTACCATATTGCACGAAATGCAACATAAGCGATACATTGTTTCGTCCGTTTTCGTCGCAAACCGAGGATATTATTAAATTTCAAGAAAAAATAGCAACTCAGATTCAACAGGAATATGTGCTAACACCGGATAATTACTTGAAAATGTTGTTAATCTATTTGCGAGTAGAAAGTGGCCTTCCGGTATTGATCATGGGAGAGACAGGTAATGAATTTCAACAGCAAGAAGTAATTTTGTTTTCTCTCTTATGTTTCAGGTTGTGGTAAAACTGCATTAATTCAGTTCTTATGTCAAAAAATTCTCGACGATGAAATTGAAATCTTTCGTATTCATGCAGGTGTAACAAGTGAGCAAATTATTGAAACAATTGGAAAACTATCCGAAAAAGCTCTTCAATGCCTTGCACAAAACAAACGTCTATGGGTGTTTCTCGATGAATTCAACACAACGCCTAATATTGGTTTGATCAAGGAAATAACCTGTGAACGAACATTACTTGGCAAACCTATTCCGGAAAACATGGTTCTCCTAGGTGCCTGCAATCCTCAACGACGAAAAGAAGTGGATAAAAATGTGAATAACCACATTGGTATCAAAAAAGATGTCTACGAGATGCAGCGATTGAAAGATACTTGTGGAATTTCACTTTTATACACAGTCGTCCCAATTCCTGAAACTATGTTAGAATATGTTTGGGATTACGGTTATCTCAGTGACTCAGTTGAAAGGGAATACATTCGAACGATGTTGAATACGTGTAAAAGTCTAACCAAAGATCGCAATTTGTTTAATTTAACTGTGGAAGCCATATCTGTTTCTCAGAAATTCTTTCGTCAACATGAAGACGTCAGTAGTGTTTCATTACGTGATGTCGCACGATTTTGTCGTTTATACAATTGGTTTCAACAATCTATTATTGATCGAGAAGGAGCAGATAAATTTACTGATAAATTGTCTTCTCTTCTCGAGCGTTCGAGTTTAATGGCACTTGTACTCTGCTATTATTTTCGTCTTAGTTCGCCTGATGAGCGAAAAAAATACACCAACCAAATGGAAGAAACTCTTAAATCTGTTTTAAAGGATCGATCGCATATCTCGAATTATTTAGTGAAACTTCTTGATATCGAACAAAAGAAATTAATCGATCGAATGAAATTACCACCTGGTACAGCTAAAAATCGCGCACTCAAAGATAATATCTTTGTTCTGCTGATTTCAATCGTCAATCGTATTCCTGTGATTATTTGCGGTAAACCAGGTTGTAGCAAAACATCAGCAGTACAAATTGTCATTAGTAATTTGAAAGGAAACAAATCAACTGATCCATATTTTCAAACATTACCAGAATTGGTCACTGTTTCGTATCAAGGATCACAAAATTGTACATCGGAAAGTATTATCAAAGTCTTTCAACGCGCTGATAAGTATCTAAATGCCAAATCTAATGAAAATATTTTACCAGTAATTGTTTTCGATGAAATTGGTCTCGCTGAATTATCACCACATAATCCACTGAAAGTCCTACATAGTAAATTGGAAGTCGAAACATGTCAATACGGCTTTGTGGGCTTATCCAATTGGCGACTTGATGCATCGAAAATGAATCGTGCTCTTTATCTCTCATGTCCTGATCCTGACATAGAAGATTTAACTCTAACAGCAAAAACGATTTTCGATGCTCTGGTACCGTCCGAAGGGCAGATAGCACGAATCGATCCATCGATTATTGAAGCACTTGCTATTGCTTACAATAAATTGTATACGTTTTTTACAACACAAGTGGAACAGCAAAATAATGCTAATTACTTTGGTCTACGTGATTTCTATTCGTTGATCAAAGGTGTTGTTAATGATTTAATTAAAAGTACGAACGAAGATCAATCGTACCAATATATTCGTCAACAATTGATTATCAATTTCGATGGTGTTTATGATGCTTCACAATTTCTATGGAATCGTTTCTGTGAACATCTTAATCGTACACATCTCATTGAGCAATATCGATCACCATCATTCAAACAATTACTCGACCTAAGATTAACCTCTCGTCAAGGACGTTATCTGATGCTAATCGCTGAAAACGAAGGTGTCATTGATTATGTGGAACGATATATCATTGTTAAACATCAACTGCTACCCGTACGAACATTAATTGGAAGTTGTTTTTCGGGAGATTTCGTTTCCGNTGAACATCTTAATCGTACACATCTCATTGAGCAATATCGATCACCATCATTCAAACAATTACTCGACCTAAGATTAACCTCTCGTCAAGGACGTTATCTGATGCTAATCGCTGAAAACGAAGGTGTCATTGATTATGTGGAACGATATATCATTGTTAAACATCAACTGCTACCCGTACGAACATTAATTGGAAGTTGTTTTTCGGGAGATTTCGTTTCCGGAACGACTTATACTGAAAAATATAATCATCGAGTCTTGATGGATATTATACTCTACGCGGAAACTAATGTTACATTAGTTATGCGTCGCATGGGACATTTGTATGATAATCTATATGATTTATTTAATCAAAATTTCGCGGTGTCTGGAACGAAGAAATATTGTCGAATTGCTCTCGGTGCACTCTATCACCCTCACTGTCTTGTTAATGATGACTTTTACTGTGTTGTTTTCGTTCGACGAGAAGACTTGAACAAATGTGATCCACCATTTTTGAATCGTTTCGAAAAGCACATCATTGATATGAAGTCATTAGTTCATGAACGACATTGGTCGGTTAATGATCAACTTCTCAATGAATTACTCAGTCTACGTCCAACGAATATGAATAAATACTTTCCATTATTACAACACCTGTTTGTCGATTACAGTAACGATTATTTGTGTAATTTAGTCATTGATGCATTTAATTATTTAAATCTCTCAGTTGATGACGAAACCAATACAGATGAAATCATCAGTTATTGTAAAGAGAAACTAATCCGAACGAGTTCATTTGATTTACCTATTGTACTTTCACTGCAAGGAGATGGAACTCATCCATTTATTGATCAATATTATGATATCCATACAAATCTTAACTTTCAATTAGTTCTTAGTCAAGCCTTGAAAGAAGATGTCTTACCAAATCAAATTATCTATACATACACACAAATCTTTCACATGATTGATTACCAATGTGATGAGATTGAAGAAATGAAACTGAATACATACAAAACGGAAGTTGAATTAACGAATAAGATTAAGGAACATTATCAAAAACAAGATCAAATTCGTTTGTTGATCATTCGTGTTGATTACCATCAAGAACATGAACATATTCTTCTATTGAAACATATTCTACTGAATTCCAAAGTTTCCCCAACTAATCGAAGTNTCTTTCACATGATTGATTACCAATGTGATGAGATTGAAGAAATGAAACTGAATACATACAAAACGGAAGTTGAATTAACGAATAAGATTAAGGAACATTATCAAAAACAAGATCAAATTCGTTTGTTGATCATTCGTGTTGATTACCATCAAGAACATGAACATATTCTTCTATTGAAACATATTCTACTGAATTCCAAAGTTTCCCCAACTAATCGAAGTATTTGGCTAATTTTTCATCTTCAACGTCATATGTTAAATCAAACAACCAACGAAGTTTTATTTAATGGTTGGTCAACATTAATGATCAACGACTTGAATGAACATAAATTAGTGCCGAAATCGGTTCTATTAAATCCATCTTATCATGATTTAGTCACACATCCACATTTTCTTCTGTCCGAATGTTTATTTAATGAACTCATCGATCGTTGTTTAACGAAATTCCGTTACACAGTTACACAGAAAGATTTATTATCCAAAATAAACCTTCGACGAAATCAAATTATTGAACACTTGACCATCATAATTGACTCTCAATCGCTACGTTCAATTATTCAAGAAAATCTCTTGAAATTATTAGACAAAATCACTTTAACTCGATTCTCCGATTGGCGACACGATTTGTTAACCAATGGAATCATCATCGGTACATGTCGTTCGTTCAATGATGCTTTACAATACATCATTTCACAGTACTATGAGAGTTATCTTCTATTGCTGCTGTATCATTTCGAAAATGCGTCATTGATCGATGCATTTTTCTTCCTGTGCAAGAATCGATCAAATTATCCATTGAATAAGATTTGGTTTGATTGTTTAAACTCCATTTTGAAGACAATCGATACAACGATTATAAATCTCGAAGTGATTGAAATGCCATTGATATTCGATTTACATTTACCATGTGCAAGAATGGAATATGAAAACATTCGTCTAATACGACAGAGTATTTCCGAACGACGAGAAGAAGAAGATTTGAACGAAGAAGATTTAGTTGCCAAAGCAATCAGGCAACTACGAACCAAGAGTATCTACAATTCGAACCTGGATTCGATATTTACGGATCCAGATTTGTTTAAGTATTATTATGATGATCAGCTATCATTGATGCTTGATGAAGCTAAAATTTATAAATTACCATCAGCGTTTGTTCAACGTTTACTCTTGACAAATCCAATGCGAACGCTTGATGATCGATTGAAACATCTATTGATTGATTACAATGAATTGTTTGAAATATTGAGACTACTTGAAATCAGTACAAAAGTGATCAATGAAGATGATTTCAATCAATTATTCACTCAACAATTTATCGTACGAGATGACACAAATACGAAATTGCTAAAGAATGACAGTTTATTCTATACTCTTGTATTAACCAGCGAACAGTTTTGTTTAATATCACCAAAATCGGAATTAGTCGATGAAGACAGCTTTCAATGCGATGGCGATCCATTCATTGAAGTGAGTCTTATGAATTTGATTGAACTCCTTGTTTCACCATCGACTATCAATCGCGTTGACAACATCGAACAATTAACAACAACATACAGTCTTGTTGCGCAAAGCATTCTCGGTTTAAAGCATTATTCGGTGAACAACCTAGAAAAACTACGCTCATTCATTAGTCTCGTACGCTGTATCACAACAATAATACCAACAAACAATGCTTTGTATGTTTTCAGAGAAGCCATTCGTTACGCTGGTTTCGATGCCACATTCGCAACATGCGATGATATTCATAAGTTTATTATACAACTAGAACAAATTATCAGTGCAAATGATAAGAACGCCAATCTAACTGTTGTACAACGAACATTATTGAAACTCGAAAGTGAATTCTTGAAGAATTGGCTAGCTGATCATAGTGATAAATATTTGGATATTCTTAGTTTGATGAGTAAATCCGATAACAATCTTTGGCGGTATTCGGCGAAAATTTTCACGTACATTGATCAAGAACTTCGCTTGTTGCCGATGAGCCGAGATTGTCATGGGCAAATGCCAACGATGGACAATTATGAGTATGTCAACGAGGATCTAAAAGAATTAACCAGTGAATATCGACGATTAGATAAATATCTACGCGAGTTGAATGATTCATCGCGAAAAATTGAACATATTATGGCTGCACGTATTCATATGCTGTTGATATTACCCATAAACAAAAACGAATTGATTGAAGACGTTGTCAACTCAGAATTCGTCCACTTCGAAGAAAACATTCGGACTATACAAAGTATTTCAAACGATTCTGGTATCACCTTGGTTTGTTTGATTGCTTGGGTGAAATATTACGCACAGCTCTATGCTTTTATGCTCATTAATGATATTCATCATTCGATCTTGGAAGATATCGATAAATTATTGACTCGAGATGATTTTCTTCTGTGTTCTACGATTAAATTATTCATTATTAAACAATTATGTCAGATGTCGAGCATTAAATTGGATGATTTACGTAAGATTATCTTCAATCGAAATGTAACTTGGCTAAAACCAATGATTGCGATCTCTACCAGTCAGAACACACACGACATACGGCGTATTTTGACTCTGCCAATACCATTATTTGAACATCACCAAGAATTTGTTCGTATCAGTCGTATTCTTACTCAAGATATCGCCCCAGCTAAAGTTCGGCAATTAATTAATGAATGTCAAACGAGTCAATCGACATTCTATTGTTTTCTCATTTGGTTTATTCACTACTATACGCGTTTCTATTTAAATGATGATCTTCAATCGAATAATTATTATCGCGATTTAATCGAAGAATTCAGTCACGATATAGTTCATTGTTTTGAACGCGTTGGATATAAATTTCTCGCTTTGCTATGCACAAACTTCAACAACACAAGTTATTTTCATTTACATCCGAAACTGACTACAGATGAAGTGCACCAACGTTTAGTAGCACTAGATATCGTTGCACTTTTACTTTCATACAAAACTTTAGCGCATACGTCCTATTTGAGTACATTATTCTTCGATGGAAATTTGAAGACGCCAGAAAATTACACTACTCACTTTCAAACCTCTGTTTGTTTACCTGGACTTCTCTCGAGTAATCCAATCATTACTCAAATGATTGATGTACGCACAACAGTGAAAGACCGTTTAGACCAGGGTCAGATCTACGAACCCGGAAAATTTGTTTTCCGTTGCTCCGAAGAGTGCGATTGGATGTTCTTTTTTATTAATTGTGGCGTACCTGTCGATCAAAGTCAATGTCCAATGTGTAAAAAGCAAATTGGTGCCGCACAATATGGCATTCTTATTGAACGTGATCCTCCACAAATTCGAATGAATATTGAGGACGGTTTTCAATTTATAAATAATTATATCGAGAAATACAATAGAACTCCACGATATGGATACCATAATCTAACATCAGGAAAGCAAAGTAACGAATATGAAAAATCCGATCATTTAAATCGATCAATCTCATATCGTTTTATGCATATGATTACTCATGCATCATTACTTTTCCTTCATGAATTGTCCTTATTACCGAATTTAGAACTTCCGAATCCTGGCCATTTTCAAGAACACTTTGAAAAAGATTATTCTCTTCTTCGACACCAAATAACTGATAATGATGAATGTTTTATTTGGTTGTACAAATTAATCAACCATATGCTGGACAAAAATCTAATTCTCAAAGGTTTTATGAATACTAATGAAAAAGTTGTACAATTGGAAAAGCTTCTCGAAGAGAAAGTCCTTTTCAATCATATCGAATCAGTTGCCAATGAAATCAATCAGTATAAAACGGCATATGCCGAGTATGTTCGACAGCAAGATGCCGAAGCAACGTTGGGTGATTACGTTAATGAAATTTTTCAAGATGAAAGCAAGTATCCATTATTAACCTTTTTCAACGTAACCAACATTTACACATCAAATCCAATCATTGAATTTCGCAACAAACTTCAAACAATCCCCTATGGCGATGAGATTTATCNAAATATCGTCATCAGTCATTGAAGTGAGTAGAGTACAGAAAAGTTAAAGCATTTTAAACATCATCGACAGATAAGAATGACACCGATACCTAATATAAAAGCGAGCGGCAGTTTTCATAGAAATAGAATTATGAAGTTTCACTTTCTTTGCCAGATCTTTGACGATATGAAATGTCTGGTACTCGATTTTTATTTGTAAATCACTAAATCTTTTATTCAGCAATAAAACAAAACAAATACATTTTGACAGAATTATCTTCCACAAAAGTTTGTATGCCGATTCAACTGTTCTAGCAAACAACCGGGATATTTTTCTCCAATTTCGTAGTTTGATGGTGTACCCAGGTCGAACAATCGCGTTGGATGCCGCCGGTCTCGGATATGGTCGGATCCGAAACATGGATTTCCTGGAATTTCTAAGGGTCATCATAGAACATAGCTAAAAAGATCGCTTATAAAATTTGCAACAACCGACGGGATTTTTCTAGTCGGATTCCAATGCAATTCCGTTTCCAGGAATCCGATCGGGTCCAGCATCGGATTTGTTGAACTGAGTAGATCTGTTGAATCGCTCCACTTGACCGTTAGTTTGAGGATGTTAAACAGGGCGGCAAACTGTACGAGTTTTTAGAATTTTACTGTTAACCACTATGTATGAATTGTATTAACCGGTTATAGAGCTTGAATAGCTATTCATTACTGTTGAGGCATTCATTTCAGAATATTGTTTAATATCCAAATTGATACAGTTTGCTGACTAAAATAGTCCGGCATTGTTAGGAAATTTATTCTCAGCCGTTGAGTTTCGTAGATAACTACTGATTATTGTGACACTGGCAGCAAGCATTTTAACAAGACGTTACTCAGACGTGGGCATATGTGCAAGATTCGATAAACATATTACTTTTCCGTGTTTGATGCAACAGATAAGTTGTGCAGAACACTTAATTTATTGTCTAACCTCTGCAACTGTAATAAGTGTATTTTTATCATCTGTTTTACTGCTTCTGAAATCATGATAAGTAGGGCGTGGTCATTTGCCTGTGAGACAACGGTAATCGACTGAATAGCACGATGATTTATTCGGATGTTATGGTGTCAAACATACTGATGTTGATTCGCAAAGGTATGGTATATCGTGGAACATGCAGTTCAAATTATAGTTAGATAATTACATATGAGTTAAATGAAAATTGGATGTATATTATAATTGTCCTTGTCAATACCAGGCTTCTGCTTTTTGTTTTGAGCATTACCACATGATGCTTAGACGTTTAAGGAAGTATACTTCACTAGGCAATATCAATGATGAATATTCTGATAAGAAATAGCAATTTCAAAGGATAGTATTGTAACAGAAGCTGTTGTTCGGTTGTAATAGACTTCATCGGAAGGTACACTGCATTTCAACATCAAATAACATGATACGCTTTAAGCTTTACCGATACATGATCGAGGTAGATTTGGTCATAATAATTTAAACTGCTCGGCAAAGGTGAAGAAAATAGTAGGCAATAACTATTTCGGCTCTCATAAATTCATTTTTAGTTATTTGATGTAGAAGAGTTTATGCAATAATGCATTCTTAATAAGATAGCCTCAACGGCATGCGATTTAGATGTCGCAAATCTTGATAATTTTACTGAGCGCAGTTTAATTTGTAGTTGAAATAAAATGGTTTGATAACTTCGTTAAAGAATCTTTGCAGTTGTCGCTCGATTGCTTGCTAGCAGAATATTTCGTCAGACTCACTGCGTGGTATAGAAGCAGACTTTCCTATGGTTGTTCTAATCACTGTCATTTTCTGCATATTGAACAGTAGCAGATGGTACTTACTATGTGACTGCCATAATTGTAGAAGTTTCATATCAGCTAAGAATTTAAGCTTCACAAATTATTGCATACTACATGTTATAGGATATTTAGTGAGAAATACTGGGGATTTGTTCGCAGAATGAGGTATTTTATGGAAAGAAAGCCATATAAACTTATACGGATAGATGTCCTTCACAGCAATCCTTTACCAGATATAATTTTTGAAAATGTTATGGAGTAATTTGTGTTTGATTTAGAATACGAAACGCTTTGATGTAAAACTTTTTTCTACTCGAAATTGATGACTTTTGATATAAAGGAAGAAAAGTTGAACAAAAATGATCATATAATTTGTAGACAGTTTCATATTAACCTTTTTCAACGTAACCAACATTTACACATCAAATCCAATCATTGAATTTCGCAACAAACTTCAAACAATCCCCTATGGCGATGAGATTTATCCTGTGACAACATTTCTCATGAAACGACTAGCGGATTATGCTAACATTCAACATTTATACCCTATCGTCGCTTTTACAAATTATCTCATTGAAAAGTTTAATCATCGTATCAAACGAAATGAAGCTTCCGAAACACCAATCGCTTACTATCTAACACACGGTACTGATTGTGAGACGATGAATGCACTATATAAAGGCTTTGTTCATGGATGGTATCATCTTAATTTCACTGAAGTGCGCTACGGTTGTCAAACGGCAAACTTCGAATTACCAAAAGCAGAAGAAGATTTTGCTACACATACTAAATTAGCGATGGTCTTATTGAATACGACCAAAGACAATAGTAGCATCCTTTTGGCTGGATGTTTACGAACTATTGCTGAATTACAGAATGAAATTGTTCACTTTTTTCATAATCGAATTCTTAACGACGGTAACAATAATCGCTATCAAGAAAATAGTATACCAATACAATCCATTCGACCAGAACACACCTTGTATCTGGATGAGAATATTATTAGCACCAAACTGATTACCGATGGATTCACTCTTAATTATCAATATGGAAAAAGTCAAGACATCATCTATGACTTTGAAGAGATTGAATTATTTTTAAGAAATATGATTGGCTGTTTACCGTTGATTGATACTGAAAAATTACGCTTTCTGAACTATCAATTTGAACTCTATAGCGAAAATACAGCATTGATCAACGATGTTCGTCGACGTATTAAACAAGAACCTCTCAAAGAAAACGATCGAATGAAATATAAGAATCTGATTAATAGTATGCAAAATGATGACATGCTTCATTATCTTGGATCACTTGATTATGTTTTCACTTATTTACGTAATATGGACGATGGGACAGCTGACGAATCAATGACAATTCAAACATTTGTAGAGAAACATATTCGTACAAGTGCTTGTCTCAATGATCATGTTCTTCAACGGCCCCCGTTTGCTACGATACGTCTCGAATATATTATCGATCTGTATGAATTAATCGAAGAGAGTGTTTTTGATCATGTTGTACGTCATTATGTCAAACGAACGTTAACTGAAGAGTCATTTGATGTTGATGAACGAATCGCTCTGGTTAAACAATTTAGTCAGATGACGTTTAAGAAAGAAACAATTGCACTTTCACTTCGAGACATTCATGTATGGATTGCAATGCTCAAACGTTTAATGGTACGTGTCCTATCGAATACCAACGTTGCTCTCGATGTGCCAATACAAATTTACCTCGAACGAACAGATTTGTGGACTGGAAATATCACCGAAGGTGATATACAAACATTTGAGGTTACTGAGCAAATACTTCTGCAACACACTTACGTTATTTTGAAAGGATTAGAAACTGAACGAGACAAAAGTCTCTTAGTAAATCATTCGGACCAGCAGACACCGCCTCAAACCGATCGTTTACAAAGTTCTGAAACACAACTGATCAGAGCACAAACGTGGCATAACGACAAGATTAGTGATGTCCGTACCACAATACGAGTGATAAAACCAGATCAAAATCCCGGCAAGAAGAGACGTGTATAATCGATAAATGAACATTTATTACATTTCAGTTTCTTTCATATTTTTGTTTTGTTATTCATTATAAAAATAAACTAGAAAAGAACCTTTTATAACATTCTTTATATGTTAAAAGAATTAATCATGTATAGAAAAATAGGTTATAAAATCTATCACACTTAAAGAATCAGGGTGGTTAAAATAACTGAAAGTGTTGCCGCTACCAATATATGTATGGCCAAGAGGATATTTTTTGCTTTTTGTTGGACCGAAGTCTCTTCGTGATTGTCGACAGTGAATGAAGTAAATTTTGGAGTCGTAGGATTTTCTATCAAATCAGCAACTGTAGTATTCGATGCATTGATGTTCGTGTAACCAGACTCTCGATTTTTCTTCCGAATAAAATATTCACTACATTCAAAGATCAGAAATATCAAAGCTACCCAAACTATCCAAGCAATCATGACAAATCGACCTTTCGTATCTGCGAACACATGGAAATACGTGGCAAGATATAACGTTGCAACAGAGAGAATGAACGCTGAGAAACCAACAAATGCATGAATATAGTTGAAGATAAATCGATACCGACTATTGGGTTCACAACGGAATAAAGCAATGAATGGTTGAAAGAACGCTAGACCGATCACAATTATGCCAGTGATTGAGTGAGCATACGGTCGTGTTGTGTCATTTGGAATCCATGTACCTTGTAAAAACACCAAAATGAAGAGAAAACCGAGCGTAGTTAGAATGGCTGCAATGCTCATCAGAAAACGATGCGCAGTAAACCATGCAGCTTTGCCGCAAATCATTTTGTTTGCCCAAGAAGTTTTAAAATAACGTGAAATCAGTGCCCCTGTCGACACAATTAATATCCACGTGAAAATCATGATTATCCCATGAGTGCGTACAAAGGTTAAATCAGTTTTCACTTCGGGTATTCGATAAAGAATAATTTCATTTTGGTTTAATTGAACAGTATCAGATTTAGCTACACGAGAATCTCTCGAGTGTTTCTGAGCATTATCTAAATATCCATTTGTCATTACAACTAGACTTTGTTATAGGCAAAGAAGAGCTTACTATCTTTATCGAGTACTCCAATTGCGATTAGTGGATGATATTGTCTGAATTGAGAAAGCGGTTCAAGCGTTCGAACTTGTTTCAATGTTTGGGCGATGAAATTCGATAGAGTAAATCGACATATAACAACACCGTCAGTGAATTGTTGTTGCCCTGGTGTAAACACTCCTCCTGCGTCTGGTTGAGGAGGCTCAGGAGGATCGTGATCGCCAGGATTTACATATCGATTAATAACAATTTCGTTATTAGCCAGTCGTTTACACATAAATACATGTGCTTCACCCTATAGAAACAAACAATTTTGAAAACATCTCTTAATCGATACAAACACTAGTCTTCGTTATTTACCATTGCTATATTCTGACCCAAGCCTATGGCAACCCATTGAGATGTTTTTAGATTATGGATAGTCATAAGAACACTGGTAACATTGGTATTACTTGCAAACGACCAAGTAATATTAACGGTCACTTCGGAAGTTGGAGGTGGAGTAGTAACTGTTGTTGTCGTCGTCGTTACTGTCGTAGTGGTATTTATTGCAGCAGCATCTTCTTCATCGATATTAGAAGAATTCATAGACACCTAAAATATGCAATTAAAAGCAAAGAATTTCAAAAAATAAGTTCAAACTTTTTGCATATTATCAGTGAAATATTTACCCGTGAAGTCAAAATAAAATTATAACAATTGGAATAAATGGCACTGTCGTCTTCGATAATTACTACTCTGAATGAAACAGAATGATACTCTTTCAGTATTTGAATTAGCTGTCTTATACTTAATTGCAATATTGCCAACAACTGGACTGGAAACTTGCCAGATTGCATCTGTATTCGTTACTGCCTTTTCAAATATATATATAGAACCATTGCACGAATTTTCATCTTGTTTTTTAGTATTGATTTCCCAACTTCCAACCTGAAGCTGATTTTCATCCAATGCTACGACATGAACACCATGGAAAGGTGTGTCCAATGTTGTGGTTTTAATGAAAACTAAGGGCAAACGAGAGTGTATCGATTTTCCAATGCGACACAAAGTCGAACAGACTTACTGTGGATAGGTTCGTCTATAGAATAACTTGAAGAAGAGATATTAACTGAAAATTTCGATGGACAAAGTGAAGGATCAGCTCGATGTTGTTGACGTTTGATTTCATCACAGATATTAGAAGAATTTTCACTTGAAAAGCATTTGATCTCAGAAATACAGGAGAGAATCAGCAAAACTACGATGAAAATATTCATCTAAAAGTTACCAAACATATTAAAACCGGTTTTAATACATTCTCTATCATACTTAAACAATGTCTGTTCTAATTCTTTCGTCAATAGTAAAATATTTGTTCTAAAATGTTATGATGACTTGATAAAAGGAATTCCTTAAACGCCAATATAAAAAGAAACAAATTCATTCAATGAGATAATTGTAACGGATTGCCTGTTTTTTAAATATGGCTCACCGTCATAATGATGAGTATTCTGCAATATTTGGCGACAGGGCACAGAAATACAATTCTCTATATTGTTATGCTGGCTTAAACATGACGGTGTAATTTCTATGAGTGATAAAAACAATGATAATTTTAGCTTTGCTTATCATCGTAACGTCGACGCTGTGACTTCTGTGCAACGACGCAGCATTTTTGCTGCACACCTTCTGTAAGAGTGTAATCTGACCATAAACTCTTTCTTTTAAGATTAATCCTAGCGCAACTCAATTTTTACTTCATCGGAACCATTTATATTTGATGCATACCTCGTTTTCTTCGATAAATCGACAATCTCACGTGCATTCTTCCAGTTCTCGTTCACTATTCGAGTATCCATCGAAAGATCATGATCGAAAAACAATAATGAGCACTATAACTATCTTCATTAGTTTCTTCACGTCCGAACTACCTTCATGCTAAAAAAAAACGATTATCTGCGAAACATATTTGACATTCTTTCATTGTATACATCCTCCTCTACAAACGGTAAAACATGCGCTGTTACTCTTCTTGTTATTTTGAGAGAAGGGAAGATAGTTTGTCGTCTCGTAACGATTGGAGCAATATCGTTGTATGAGATGGAGGCAGTTGGAAAAGGTTAATGTCATTGGAGGTTGTACAATAGACTATCGTTATGTTTTTATTACGAATTCATCCCGAGACACAAATAATTGGAAAAAAAGCATCTTTTGTTCGGTGGTTTAATAACTTTTACACATTGACTACGACCGTCTCCGAATATCTATACAGATATTTCAATAGAATTTCATCCGAATCACACTAAACAAACAAAACGAATGAAATTTAGTCCTTTGTTATATTTATCTGGTGATAGTTCGGTGCCTCGGGTACATATTTTAGTAGTGGAGCTAATATAAGTGTTCCGATAGTCAGTAAACTAGTTAATAGGATATAGAGAATGAATAGACAACGATCGAGAATCAAAGCAACATTTTGCCAATCTCGTACGATCACATCTTCTTCCTGTGTTTCAGTTGGACGAAGGATTAAACGATTCATTTCAGTGAGAAGTCGTTTACATTCATTTAATGATTGTGGTGATGATTGAAGGTTAGATAGTGCCGATGCATCGGGATGTAGATTATTTTCACTCAACGTTGATGATTGAAATGTATGCGAAAGATTTTGTTGGTCATGAGTGACAAGATCGTTTTCATTTAAGAATATCGCATTGTAAATAGTTGTTGCGCGTCGAGGAATTTTAACTGTGGATTGTTGAGGATCTTTTTGATTATCTAGTTTCGATCCGCGATGCAATTTAACACGAAGAAAAGGTGCAAAACGAGAAAATAATATACGCCGCAATCGGGTCGGAACTGGTTTTAACGATGAACCATATAAATGAACGTTAAGTATAATAACAGCTAGTAAAACAGATAAACTTGTTAAGCTCATGACTAATGTGAAATAAATACCTAAAGAAAACAAACTAGAAGTTGTCTTTTTTCATTTGTATCATTTCAATGATATTACTGATTAGAGGAATGTATTCACTCGTCGCTGGCATCGATTCAGCAATCAATAACATGAAAACCGAAAAGGCGAGAAGAACGGTTAGTCCTAAAGATACTTTTTCACCTGATTCTGTCGGTAAATAGAACGTTAGACATGTGAGGATCGACAACATGATACAAGGTATAATAACATTGTATGTATAATATAATGTTCGACGTCGTATATGGAAATAGAATTTCAAATCGAAATACGACTCATCACAACATGGATATGTTAATCGAGATAGAATAGTCCATGATGATAATAATTTCCATTCGCCTAGCAAAATTAGATTGATTGAATTCAGTAGAAAGAAGAATATTTCAATGGAATTTACCATTGTCAACATAATTTAACATATCAACATTTTCCGAACGATTCGTTAGAATCACTTGTGTGGAATCATAGGTCCATGAACCGAACTTTAAAAAGCATAATTGATCATCAAATGGAAACCTATTTGAACACAATGATGCATACATTGTCTTCTTACAATTTCTAAGAAAATCTTTTTACCAAGTTATTCCAATTTTACAAGTCGATCGAAACTTCACAATCGGGGGCCAAAAGACAGTTCCATCATAACTGATCATTGCTAACGATTGCATATACCCTTGTGTATAATCATCAGCTGAATTATATAACACGATATCAGGTAACCAGATGTATCGACAAGGTATTCGAATTTTCTTCATGCCACCGAAATCTGATGGATTCCATGTTAGCAATTCATCTCTCCATTCCTCGAATAAACATTATTACGATCTATTTGAAAGTTAATCATAGATTTACTCATACTTGATCAAGCCAAATGTTAGTTGTCATTATTTGATTACGTTCATCCTATAGATTTGTATATAAAATAAACTTCGTCTAAGACAGTCTCATCTGATGACTTACAATGTCCATAATCTGTGTTAATGTTATACCTAGTTTGACAACGATAGCATCCGAAGCTTTCTTGGTTGGTCTCACCGCTCGTTCATAGCCATTCATTAATGTATAGAAAAGACGTTGTTCATCAGGCATATTACGAGTAATATTATGCCGAACATTCGTTACCATCGGTGCTCGAGATGGAAGTGTGACAGCTGCAACAACTGAATTATATTTTCGGTCATATATAGATAGATATAGAAAACTTGCGAACAGGAAATTGATAACGGATGGATTATAATATTGATTCCAAGCTATTTTTATCGAATACATAAGATCAATTTCATATCAATCATGGTCTTAAATCTGAATCACGGTTCTAATTGGTTGAATGTGTATATGTCAACTATCTGAAAAACAAAATGAGAGAATGTTATTATCGAAATGACTTTTCCTGCGTCTCTTTCTTTTTATTTCCATCAAATTACTTTGAAAAAAAAAGAACTGACGATCAAGAGATGCATATGTAATTTCTCGTTTGATGTGTTAACGGAACTGTTTCATTGTTAAATTATTCAAATTAACATCATTTCTATTGGACAAAAGCTTTCTATCCTCAGGGAACGATTGCTTTCGTTAATTCTCATGTAAAAAAATTCGCAATTCTTGTCAGAAAAGTATCACTCTCCTAACCACTGAAATTGCACGTTAAGATCGACGAAGAAACATACAAGTGACATTTTACGGTAGTATGGATGCACTGACATGAAACTTCACCCCAGTATCAATACTAATTCTAACGGAACAAAAAACAATCGAGAGTACGGTTAGGATGGTGATACTGACCAATAGTGGCATATTGAGTCCTTAATTTACTAAACAGAACGTTGCTTTTAGATAATGGGCAGTGATAAGAATGATATTTTGTCTACATGAGAAAAGATGATCTCCAAATGCATGTGTCTTTCACTACATTTGAATGTTTTTCTCGTTCAGCAAATGTCTACCGTATCGATACATGCTTACTTTATCGTATTATATTCTTTTATAATTACACATAATTTCAAATCAAATCATAATAAGGAAGTACATTAGGATCGATTACATTTTTAATAGACGATTATTACATAAGCATGCTATACTATGTTTCAAAATAGAATAAAAGAAGTTTTCGGTCTCGGTAACCCATGTTCTCAGGAAGTAGTAACCCGGAAAAAGATATTTTTCTATTTGTACGGTAAACAAACGGACTTTTTCGACTAAAAACCGGCACCGTAAATGAATGTCAATATCTGAAAGCGACAAAAAAAGAGCTCCTAGACGATTAGTTCTATGATGATGAGTCTCTGTATGATGTGATTACGCACGACCAACTGAACGAGGAGAAAAATTGATTCTCCAAGTGAACATCAAAAACATAATTCTCTTTAGAGCTATATCGAGCATTAGTTTTGCACTGAATTACATCTAGTCATTGTTGTCAAGCTATATTAAACATTTTATTTCTCAACTGTAATCGTGTTTTCTGTAATGGGTCTGGAATATCAAGTAGGGATTTAGTTATTGGCATTTATACAGCATAAGTAGAGTGAAACGAGGAAACGCTTGATTCGTTTATGTAGTTACTGACATTTGCACGCAAATAAACTGGATGTGCAAGGGAGATGTTTTGTTTGAACTTAGTGGGATGGTTCATGAATCAACTTACACGGTTTTTTGGAGTGATCAGACGGAATAACAGAATTCATAGATCTTTTGATAAAGAAAAGAAGATTCAATATCTCTCGAGATTGAATTAACTAAGTTTCTTTGATTGTCACTTAATGAACAAGAATATATATAAAGAATACTCATAAGAAACCGAATAGAAGTAGGAGGGTCAATGCTCTTATATGATATTTTACATAAGGAAATAATCTTGTAATTAACTTAGTTATTACTTTATGCGATCATCGTGTTGTCGTCGTCTTTGGGTTCATGGAAATGTTCTGAAATTCTATTAGAATCCGACAGCTCCCCAAATTCGACAAATAGATTCATCCATCCATAAAAAAGAACGAACATTGTTCGGTTGATAAAACATGATTTCATATGTTCTTTGCTATACCAATGATTCGTCAGTTCAATTTTCTTCACTTGATTGTATGTGACTTATACTTTAGCAGAGAATAATAATAGCTACTGTAATTCGAAATATAGTTCTGTACAGGATACGGGATTCTGCTTGTCATACCTAATCAGATTCTATCGATAGTGTATTCAAAAAAAAAAGAGAAACATCAGCGAGAAGAGGAACTCACACTAGCCATCAATATAGAGATTTAGAATTCGACTCTTTTGGAGTACAATGCGATTTCATGGAGATCAGCGAATTGTTTCATGCTTAAAATCAATTAGTATGAACGTTTTTATTCCAGGACGAAAATAGACTCACAAGAGAGAATGACCGTTCGCGCCACTCACACTCACACGCAATTCACAGCACCAGCAGCACACATATAAGTAGAAGAAAAAGAGTGAAAATAAAAGAAAAATAATGAATGGCAATCACTTAATGAACTAGTTTGGTGAATGAGAAAGAAGAGAAAAAAAATAAAGAACACAGGGAGATTCGAGAATGATAAGAGGAAAAAAGACAAAAAAATAAACCACCGGCACGTTTGACGAAAAAAAAAGAAACCCTTCTTCTTACATAAGTAGAGAAAAAGAAAGATCACAGAGACAAAAAAGTACGACCAGCGTCATCTTCTTTTAGTGTAGTATATGTCGCATCTAACCAGAATAAATCGTACAAGAATTTACCTAATGTAATGAATGAGAAAGATATGTCTGTTTAACAGAGAAGAAAAAGAAGAAAGAGAAAGAAAGAGAAAGAAATATCTCACCGCACAATCACATTCTCTCCTCACACACAACACACGCACAGAAACTTGAAAGGTTTGGATATCTCTCTTTTGTTATTTATATATAAATCATGATAAATATGTTCAATTGTTTTTGATCTTTCGTATTTCTTTCGTTGCCCATGTTGCTAACGTTTTCGTTTTCATTACTTTGGATCGTTTGCCTTCGACTAATAGTTTCTCAATTGCTTCTCTTTCAACATACGGAAGTATCTGTCGACCATAAGATGTAACAAGATCACCAATTAAACCGATAGCTGCACCCAGGATTGAATCCGATTTGTTTTGATCACGTGCTATGGTTTCAATGAATTGCACTATAAATGGTAATTGTGCCGTGACTAATTCTAATTCTGCTAATGCAGCCGAAGAATCACCGGTTGTTGCTGCTGAATTACGGAGACCTTGGATAATACCCGTGTATGCAGATAAGCAACCTTCATGTAGTTCATTCAGGTAATCGATCATATCGTAATCTGTTTTCGAAACTTGAGCACGACATGCCTGACTAAGAGTATTTAAAACATGTTCCAGATATTTTTTGAAATAACCACCGATGGCTAGAGCAATATCACCGAATGTACTTAAAATTTGAGGTTTGACGGAACGATGTAATCTATCATCCTAAATAAGTCAATGAAAAGTGATATAGAACGATCGGATACTTTCGTTTCACTTACACCGAGACAAGTAAGCAAATGAGTCATTATTAGATCGCAATACGGAGCTAATTTATCGAGTAACGAGCGACTTAAATCTCCAACAACACCAACAGCAGCTGCGCATATCTGATATTCAGCATGGTTATTTAATGCTTCATAAAGAAATGGAAGAACATGATCGATGTATTTGAGAAAATTGACTCCCAATACTGAAAATAAATACACAGTTACAGGTTCTGTTGAAAGTCTTTTGTAAGCACAAACCTTCAACTAGAGTGCCGATCGCGACAAGTGCATCTTCTTGCACAACACTTGTCTTTCCACTACTTGCTTTGAGCATTTGTAATAAAGCTTGCATAATTGGATCTGATATGAGTGGAGCATCATTTGGATGCATTTTGCGAAGTACGCTCTAAATAGTTCATAAAAATAGTTTCTTGAAAACACGTTTTGTCATGCTTGTCTTACTTGAAGTGTCGCACAAAGTAATGATTGAAGATCACTAATTTGTACTCTGTCATTTGGATTAGCTGCATGACTTTCGACTGATATGACTCGATTTAATCGATCAAGTACAGTCACTGTGGTCTTTTGAACAGTACTGTAGCAATCTTTAGGACTGTGACGAATCATTTCCATCAATGCTTCGTAAGCGGCATTACGTAAATTAGATTGGTTACCATCTGGCCTGTAGAACGACAGGACGAGAATTTATCAGTGATTCCTGTGCAAGATATACGTACCTATCTGTTGTTTCAATGAGTTTGTGAACGATTTCATCGAAAAATTGGGACAATAAATAGGTATTTGGCGTATCATCATCATCTGGACATTCAGCATGTTCATATGCAGCACGAGCTAAGCTCGAAAATGACTAAAACCAGAAAAAGACATTTTTACAAGCTCAAACGGAAAATCTCGTTTTTCCTACCCAACAAATATTCGTTGCAACACGTGGAACATCTCCCAAACCGTTGACTAATGCATTGCCAATCGCTCGAATTAATTCCGGAGTCATTACAGCTTGTGAAACGAATTCAAAAATGCGTCCAATTGTCCACGCTGTTGTATCACGTACAGCAACATTTGGATCGCGTAATAATTCAAGCAAAAATGGTACCGCTTGTTCAGCAATTGGTTTTATGCTTGCTACATCAGGTCCTTCTAACATCGAACCAAACGCCATGACCGCTGCTTCACGATGTTGCCAATTGGCGTGTTTGATATTTTCACTGACAAATGGAAACACATATTGAATAATTGTGTTTTCGGCACAATTAGCCAATAACATCAAACAGACACCAGCAGCTTTACATGGATTCCAATCGTCATCGTCATCTGCTTCTTCTTGCATAGTTAAACGTTGTAATAAAACGGGTACTAAGTATGGTAATGCACCGCGTGCATAGTAACGACTTGCTCGTTCTGGTTGACGATTTTGTTCCTGTGCCTTTAAAAACAGAAAAATTGAATAAAATATTAGATTTAATTGGAGATTACTTACTTCTTGTTGATCTAATTGTAATTCGTACTCCTCGTCACAGACGTTCGACCAAAATTCGATACCTTGCAAGGCTATTTCATCATGGGTAGATTTCATTGCATCCATAGTAATCTAAAAAGAACGAAGGTAATGTGAAAGAACTTCGATTAAGAGTACGGCATCTTACCGCAAATAATGCAGGACCCATGTAGTATTCCATGTAGTCATAGTATAAGCTCAGAATTCTAACGAGATTCTGCAAAGCTGCAACTTGAATCTAAAGTAGAAAGAAATGTAAATTGTAGATGAAAGATTCCGGGAATGAGAATATCGAATTTACCTTTAAATTAGTTGATTGTGTGGCTTCGCATACAACTTGCATAATGTAATGTCGTTCACTCTATGAAAAGACGACAACAGAGAAAATTAGACGTACTCAATACTTCTAGCTGAATCATACATCATTTTGGAAATTGTTTTTGGTAAATTCCAACGAATTCAACATGGCTGTTGTTGCAGCAAGACGTACATGATCATTGGTTTCTTCTTTACGCATGCCATACACAAGTGCAGTTAGAATAACATTACTCTGAGGTTCAAGTACCTTTTGTTCCTGAAAATATCCATCAGTAAGCAAAGTCTGATACCCAAAATCAACTTACAATATCTTGACATATATAACCAAGTGCTTCCAAACTTGCTTCACGGATATTATCAGGTCTACCGACCGTTGTCACATTAGCAACCAATCGTTCTAAATTTACGGGAAGTATTATCGAAGAAAATTCTAGTGGAAAATCCTACCGATTAAATCTCGCCATTGGCCTCGTGGTAATTCGGCACAAGCGATATAACCGACGCATTGAGCTGCTTGTGATGGTTTGGATGTTTCGGTACCGAGAGCATTGAAACACTGAATTGAGTAGAGGATTAGATGTTTTCAATGAATCCTTTGTTCTCTTACGTTATTTTTCACGTGTGCTCTGATATCGTCGGGTATGCGAAGCCATCGTTCTCGAAAAGCTTCTATATTATCTCGTGAATAGAGTGCATTTTTAAGTTGCAATGCTACAAGAAACGAAACCGTCATGAACAAGCGCACGAGCACGTATTTGCTTACCTGCTTGTGTACGTGCTGTTGGATTATTTGTCGTCGTATTTAAAATATCAGAAAGTTGTTTTAACAGTTCGGGCAAGTTTTGTTCGGCTGCTTTAGCAAGAAAATTTCGGGCATTCTCCAAATCGGCTTGAGCTAAAAAAGAGTCCGAGTTGGTGATTCAAATGATAAATCTATCTGTACACATACATCCGGTGGCTGTTCGCTCGAGAATATTGATGAGGTCTTGTGCGGCCATCGCACTGATTTAATTAAAAAGAAAAATCTTAAAAATC